ACTGGGTCGAGCGTAGTGGGCGAACCTCTGCATGTCAACATCCCCAGCGTTCACATCCATTGCATGGTCTTCGCATCTCTGAAATAGATACTCCATCAACTCTGGCCGGACACACAGCCGCCACAACAAGCTGGCGTCGTCGACTTCTTGCCATGGAGCCAACGGGCCTGCGCGCCCTCTAAGACTCACTATCTTTGTGAAGAAGAGCTTGACAATTTCCAAAGCAAGTTGTGGCTTCGTCTCAAAGACTTCCTCCGTAATGTAAACGAATCCGCCAAGTGGGAAAATTTCAATGCGCTCATATTGAAGCACGGGAAGACCATCTGTCAAAGCATGGTCGTAGTCGAGGCTTGGTTGAAGCCCAACCGACCAGAGGCGAACGTTCTGGCGAAGAACTTCGCCGAAACCGGGAAATGCTGTGAAGTATTCAACGTCCGGATGTGCCTGATATGTTTAGCATTAGTCTCACTCGCAAAGTGTGATTACGCACTATAATGATGCCTGAACCTCCTTGCAAAATTTGCTGCTTGAAAACAGCCCATGCACCCTGATAGCTCGTACTAGCAACCTGGACATGGTGCAATAATAACCATCGAGTAATAATCTCCAACTCTTCAAAATGGTCTTCGGGATGGTACATTAGAAAAACCCTACTCTCGAGCAGATTGACAGCTTCCTCGCCGCCATTGCTCGCAAACATATCCTCAAAGTCCAATGTGCAGACTGATCCTCCGGCCGTCCGCAACTGTTCGCATTTGATTTTGACCTCATTTGTGATGGGTGGAGGCGGAGGCGGAGGTGGTGGCTGAAACGAGAACTGCTGTGGTTGTCCAGATGGTATGGGAGAAGGGGTGCGTGTTGCTTTATTGGTCGTGGGTGGTTGGACGGCATCACCGATATCCATATCGTCATCCACATCTGGCATAGTAACAGACGTCTGATGGCCTTCATGTGGTGCATTTGCAACAATGCCAGTCTCTCTATGCTGGTAAGCACATTCCTGTTCTGTATTTCGACAGTGGCCTCTGTTCCAGTACCAGCAAGTAAGCTGATCCGGATTTAAAGACCTAGTAGTCCTCTTCTCTTTCAGCTGGTCTTCTATACTACCATGCTTCGGTTGCTGTTCAGGATCAATTCGTACATCGCCCATTGAGGGATCGCTATGCTTTATCCATCCAGTATTTCGGTGAGCAAAGAGACAATCCTCGGCGGATTTTCTGCAACCTTTTGGCCCGTTAAGCCAAAACGGACATGTGAGCGGTGGTTTGCGGTATTTTCCGGGTATCTTGCCTTGCATATCAGCTACAGAATACTCGCAGCCCTTTTCATCCTTATGCCTATGCATAAAGCGGCAATCCCTCGCACTTTTCGTGCAGTTTTGGCTAAGCCTCCATTGGTAACACACCTGGGGAATTTTGTGAATCTCCCAGGGTGCTAAGGGTATGTTCCCATCAGTAGACTCTTGCCTCGGAGACTCATCGTTCTGGGGCTCTTCTGCAATGGCACGCCTATGAATAGGGTCACGACGAGCGTATGGATCATGGTGTGGTGCCGGCAGTTTTGGGGCGACGAGATCAGGTGGAGCATCAACGAAATTGAGAGCAGCAACATCAGGTGTGCCCTCCATACGGGACCTCATATCTGCCGCGTGGTGTCGACTGAGTGTCTGAAAATGAGTTTTCTTTGGTAAGGCAGTAGCTTGACGAGGTTGAGGCTTGGGCTCGTTTACGAATCTGATGCCACTACTCTTTCCTGAGCCAGTTGTGGTCTTGCGGGCACTCGGCTGCATCGCAAGAGAGACTAATCGCTTTGCAGCGCCTGAGCTTGTACTACTAGGTTGCAGAGTGTCATGAGCAGCGGAGGCACCACCAGCTGCAGCGGTCGTAGGCTTGCCGCTGTTACTCTTTTTTCGTTGTGTAGAAACTGTCGTCGTTTGCTTGTCTCGGAAACCTGAGTCTGCTTGCGGCAGTGAAGATCTTCGAGGCTCTTGGCTCTTTGCTGGTCTTGCGAGACTTGATTTCGTGACTGACTTCGGGTTTGGAGTAGTCGTAGCATGTTTCAATGAGGTACGGGGTGATTGAGCTGAATTTTGGATTGGCCGGCGCTCTATAGTAGAACTCTCCACGCCGTTGGACGTATGCCTTGTATTTTCCGACGTTGTAGCTATCTCTGCCATCAATGAGTCATCTGTCAACTCTCCTTCCGAAGAAGAGGATTCTGACTGCACTATAGGAGGCTTACGCGCTTTAGGAGGCTGTCTGATAAACAGCCCCGAGTTGTCCGTAGCAGAACTTTCCGCAAACAAGTGATTGAGTTGACTGGAGTCTGCAGCTTCTCTTTCTGCGAGGATAGCTTCCAGAGGTGACAGCTCTTGTTGGCCGTTGAGTGCTGCCTCATATTTTGCTATGTTGTCTTCGCACAACTTCTTGAAATCAACTTTTTTCATGCTCGCTTTCTTTTCGTTCCATAGTTTCAACGCGGTAGTAGTTGTGGGCTCATCTGGTAGTGACGTAATCTTCTCGAAGTTGACTGCTGGTTCCCAAGTGCCTGAATCACGTCAGAGATACGCGATGGATGCTTGCCTGGAACGGAACGGTGCACGGGTTGGTCCTGTTCTCCAGAGGGACTATGGAGGTGTGAGGAACAACGGTAGAATACTTACACCTCCAAAGCTGGTTAGCTTGATTCAACGACACCACGAGGCAGACCTACTCCTCAAGTGGATAATTTTCCCATTTGGTCAAGTACTTTGTAGCCGCGCCGAACGGATGCACATCCCAGGCGTCTTGCCACTTCTCCGCCAGAATACATTCTACGTCGTATTCTTCCTCGAGCTCGTCTTCATCAGGGTGCAGTGACATTCTGGCGAACGCTATAGAGGTGAATGGCTATGCCAGCTTCTAATTGGTTGAGAGCAGTAGCAGACAACGCGTGAGGTCTTTCTCTAGTTACGCGTCGGGTCGCTGCTGTCATTCGGGTTGCAACGAGAAATTAGAGGGCAACTGTGTCTGCCCAGGTACTTGTCCAAAGGCGAGATGTTTGTGGCGACGCAGGCAGACATGGAGGTGTTGGAATGAGCGAGGGCGCGGAGACTAGCGCCTCGCTTACCTAAGAAGGCATAGGCTTGTTCGCTCCTGGTGCTGGCTGGTGCTTTGACGGTGGAGCAGCGACTCCTCGAGGCAGCGAGATAGCGCAGTACTTGGCCACTACCCACGACGACCTGATTCTGAGCTTTTCTGCTTGCCTTGATACCCCAAAGACATCCAGGCTCTGCTTTCACGACTCTCGCCGACACATCGACTGAGACTTCCATCTGCCCACCTGCCACTTCCCCACCTACCGCAACAATGGCGAACGACGAATATGACGTGAGTCTCCGTAGGACAGCAGCCCTATGTGTTCTTGCATGCTGACAATAGTGCACATAGTTTCTTTTCAAGGGTACCTGCTTTCTCCCCACCTGAGTCTTCCTGGTCTCGTCGCCCGCTAACCCCCGCAGTGGTGCTCATCGGAGACTCTGGTGTCGGTAAATCCAACCTATTGAGCCGGTTCACGCGCAACGAGTTCAACCTCGATTCCAAGTCGACCATCGGCGTCGAATTCGCTACCCGATCCATCCAAGTTGACGCCAAGACCATCAAGGCCCAGATCTGGGATACCGCCGGCCAGGAGCGATACCGTGCCATCACCTCTGCATACTACCGTGGCGCGGTCGGCGCTCTGCTTGTCTACGACATCAGCAAGCACCAGACATATGAGAACGTGACGAGGTGGCTGAAGGAGCTACGCGACCATGCTGACTCCAACATCGTCATCATGCTCGTGGGTAACAAGAGCGATTTGAGGCATCTGCGGGCAGTGCCAACGGAGGAGGCCAAGCAGTTTGCAAGTACGTTTACTCATCCTGCGACAGTGGCGTCTGCATAGATACAGCCTTCGACATGTATGCTGACACTCTCCGCAGGCGAGAACAACCTTTCCTTCATCGAGACGTCTGCCTTGGACGCCAGCAACGTCGAGCTTGCCTTCCAGAACATTCTCACAGGTACGTTACTCTACTATAAACAACAAGCAGCAGCGACAACAGTGGTTGGCGCAAAGCTTGGAGTGACATTCGTTGGGCCAAGTGGACATGTGTTTACACCGCCACTTTTGTTGACACTTCAGCCGCAAATATCATTAGCATGAGCCGTTGCTAACACCGCTCCAGAAATCTACCGCATCGTCTCAAGCAAAGCGCTCGACCAGGGCGAAGGTAGCGGCCCCGTCCTCGGCAACGACCGCAAGGTGCTCGAGATCAGCAAGTCGGCCGACGCGGAGCAGAAGAAGGGATGCTGCTAGACGATAACGAAAATCTACAAATACTCTTCACCTACAATCTGTTTGCGCCGGGTTGCAATGCATGTTTTGGCGAAGCAGCGAGGGGGGAAAGCTCGGATATGGCGAGCAGGACTACGATACAATACGCTTCACGTTTAACGCGTGGGATACAAGACGAGATGATGCAAATGCCCAAACTTGGCGTCCAGGAAGTCGCTCACTTTACGTCTGCTTTGTCTCTACAGGTGTCAGGGTCTCTGCTTGGTTTTGCATGCTGCGAGGAGTATCTCCTTTGTTCGGTTCGGGGCTGGAGGCGGTAATGCGAATAGCGGCTGTATGTACGGCGTGATTGCAATGTCAGCTCATGTTCAACTTGCCTCCTGGTATTCGCTTTATTCATCGCTTTTCGGACTCTGGATGTTGCAAATGGCTGACGCGTCAGCAAAGTCCTAGAGCGGCCGTTGTATCACATGTGACGAAGCAGATCGACGGCTCCTAGTTTTGATCGGTCATCTCGGCGAATCGAAGATTCTTGATGTTCGGCATGTAGTTCGGTCCTTTGTGCATCTTCGTCAGTATAGTCAGGATTTCCTTCTGACTCGCTGGTCAGAATGCTTGCCTGTAGCACTTGATACGGGAGGAAAGATTCATCAGATTGTAACAAATAGATTCGTAAATGCTCATGAAACGCCTATACCCCTTCTTCCGTTCATGTCGTTAGGCCGCCAAGTATCCTCCGCTTTGGTCCCTGGGGGCAGGTAATGCGAGCCCTGTTCAGACGTCCTACGATAGCCCGAACTACCAGAATCGTCATGTCTTTTCTCATCTCGTGATTCGTGAAAACCAGGCATTGGATACGCTCCGGTATCCGGTATGGATGATGGACTGGCAGTGTAGACTGGTCGTGACTTGACATCTGTAGCCAATGGGAGTAGGGGACCGCTGTTCTTGGACTGCAAGGCCTTTGCGCGTTTATCTGCTTTCGCGGCGTCGTGCGTGCGGTCGTAGAGATATAGACCCACGAATGTGAGCACAAAACCAAAGGCTTGGACTTTTGTCATGGGCTTGCCGAACCAGACAACAGCGAACACAATGACAAAGACGCGCTTGATTAAGCTGGCAACCGAGTAAGTAACTGGTGACACCATAGATAGCAAGACAAAGGCTACAATGTTCTGTCCAAAATGGAAAGTGCCGTTGAAAAGAAACTCGAGTAGCAGACGCCCGTGATCTAAAGCTTCAGGGTGGTCTGATAGCTCGATAGAAGCGTCATGCAGAAAGTCAAAGATAAGAGTAAACCCTTCGGACCAAAGCCAAAGTGGAAGAGTAAAGAGAAAGGCTAGGCCAGAGGAATAACAGAGGAGGTTCAGTTTATCCGGTTTGGTGAACTTGTTCGGCGGGAGGCCGTCTTTCTCAGCAGCTGCGGCGTCGTTGAAGATTTGTTTGGAGACGATGTTCTGAACAACGAAGAGGATGGCGCTGGCAAAGGCGGACATCAGGCCGATTAGATTTGCATTGAAATCGGCCGAACATGCCAGTATGACTCCTAGAGTGAGTGGGATGAGAGAAAGGTATGTGGGTAGCGAGTACTGGATCTTGAAGAAAATGCTGTATGCCATGACGGTCAAGAGCGGCGAAAGTCCCTTGATAGTGTGTACCAACGAAACAGGTATCCTTGACGTAGCATCGGCGCTCAGAATGTGTCCGCCGATCTGAAAGCATGTCAAGGGCAGCGTCGCCATGATCAGCTCCTTGGATGGGGTACGAATGCCGTACTTCAGGAAAGGCATCGTCTGTTTTAGGCGTGGGTATTTCCTAGCGAACATGGCAAGTATCAAGCACCAACCGGACACGAAAGCGAATTGGACGGTCGTGAGGGTAATGGGCTTTGGTAGGGCGGTCAGGATGGCCTTGGAAGACATGTTGGTGAAGATGGAGGTCATGTACCACACACCGCAGAGCACCTGCGCCTGTTAGCCATAGGCCATAGCAAACCATGCGTATGGCGACCTACAATGAGCTTTGGCGATAGCGGGGCCTTGAGCGCGTCTGCAAGTTCATGCGCATTCTGGCTGACACTGCCCTTTCGCGTCCGTATAGTCCTGAAGGCCTCTGACAGGCTCTTCTGTCGTCCATGTCTGTTTGAAGAGGTCGATGCTGAGCCGTTGATGCCCCCGAACCTAGCCTCTTTGCGCGGATGCCACCTGTCGCCTGGTATCGTACTGCCATTCGTCTGCGCTGCGTGGCTAGGACTGGCAGAGCGCGACGACGTGTGACCGTATATGTGGTCTTCCTCGGGCGTGGGCAGTAGATCGGGCTGGAAAGCGGGAAACTTGAAGGTAGCGTTGGGACTTGGGTCCCGCGCCAACGGAGGCGTCATGACGACTGCGGGATGCAAGGTGGTTGGGCTGTCGTAGATGTATTCGCTACGCCATGGGGAGGGAACCGATGCTGCAGGCGACTTGTACTATATGCGCGGAACCGTGGCGCACTCCTGCTACATGTACGAGCACAAGGGTGGCACAAGCAGCGGTAGCGATGGAGGGGTACCGTGGATCGTCGCGAAGGATTATCCCAAGGAGCGTGGTGTTGAAGGCAAGCGTCGCAATGGATCCGTAATTAGCGGAGAATTGTCTGGTTAGTGACATACGCGTTCCGGAGGCGGTTCGGATCTGATAGCTAGGGCAGAAGGCGACAGGGATTCCAAACCACCGGCCATCGTCAGCCAAGCTCTGTCCACGAACCCTTCACCACCTGCTATGTCCGGTAGAGATCTTCTGCCGCGATAACGTTGCTTTTCAAAACCGCCATCTCTCCTTCTCGTCATGTATCGAGCCTCTGTATACACCAGAACATGTTCGTTCCCATGAGCCGGCCGTCGCTGCCGCACCTCCTCTGTACTTTCCTGTTCCTGCTGCAATTGGGTCGTGCTACGGAACATGAGCCGCTCGTGGCCCCACTAGCAAGCCGACACGAGAGTGCCTCCTTGTTTTCCTTCAGCGATACATGGCACGTCCTGGGGCCTTTTCAGATGGGAACTCGAGGTACGTCATCGCCTACCGTAGCCTGGAGACGATATACCGACATTTTGTAGAGGCGACATGGGGCGCAGATCCACTCGAGTACTATGGCGGCTTCAGAAACCTCCAATATGACCCCAAAGCAACATTCCGAAGCTCGTTGCCCACTAACGGAACCGCATCGTGGAATGTCACCCAAGCCGTGAGGACCATGAGCGATGCTACGTCGGCCAACGCCTCCTTGAGTGTGGCCTATTCAAACGTTGACTGGGACTTCCTGAAGGTCGTATATGGATGGGCTGCCGTGCAATATCAGGCCTGGGCTCGTGGCGAACTTCACGTCGGCGGCAACGAGACTCAACACCTAGTCTTACACACAGATACTATTCTGGAATTCTGGGTGGATGACCAGCACTACTTTGGGGGAGATTTCTATACTTTTCGCAAGGCGCCTCCTGTTCTGCATCTCCAACCTGGCTCGCACAGAATTGACATTCGTCTAGCTCGCGACGTGAGAGCTTTTGGTGGTATTCTGGAGCCTACCATTGATGTTGTTGTTGACGTGCAAAAGGCCATGGGATCTTTGGAGCTTGCAAAACCTGGTATTCTAGTGTCCGATGTCGTCGACGGAAAGCTTGCCTCGTCAATTGGATCAGTGTACTTGAGAAATACCGGGGAAGAGGAAATTGAAATTCTGAGCATTCAGCACTCAAGTGTGAGCCTTTATGTCTCTTTCGCGGAGTTGGCAATGGGCGCACAGTCATTGTTACGCAAAGATACTGATATTGCTGACCAGGGAAATCCTAACACGTCGAGTGACTCGCATATGTCCAACATTATTGTTCCTGGTCAAACGAAATCCATCGCCTTCAATATCACTCTCCATGGTAGCAACACTTCATCTGTGGATTACGATATTACATATAAGACAGTTGGTGGTACGCGCCAAAACATCCTACGTGCGTCCCAAACTCTGAACCATATCGGTCTTTACAGGCCCCACAAGGTCACATTCCTCCACCCTGGTGGCATGGCTTCGTACGCCATGCTTCGACCCCCAGCAAAAAATGCAACATGCCCATCAGGACAATTAAAACTACCCGTATTGCTGCAACTCCACGGAGCAGGCCTCGAGGCTGACAACCCTATGGTTACTGGCGCCCTGGATCCGGTTTCTGACCTCTGTGCTTGGGTACTGTTTCCTACTGGTGTCACACCGTGGTCCGGTGACGACTGGCACAACTGGGGCTTCGCCGATGTTGAAGCGGCAATTGCGGCAATTCCAGACTGGATCGACAACAATCGCTGGACAGGCTACGATGTTGATACGAACCGTTGGATAGTCTCAGGACATTCCAATGGCGGACAGGGTACTTGGTTTGCCCTTACTCATAGACCTGACAAAGTGCTCGCTGCAGCACCAGTCTCCGGTTACGCCAGTATCCAGATGTACGTGCCATATCACTTGTGGCAAGCTGCAGATCCTGGTCGCACAGCGGTCGTCAGTGCATCCATCAACAGCTATCGTCATGAGATGCTCATGCCCAACGCGCATGGCATACCCGTTCAACAACAGCATGGTGAAATTGACGACAATGTTCCAGCATATAATTCCCGCCTACTGGCAGAACAGTTGTTCCGTACTGGAGTTAGCCCCGGAGTCATTGGAGCCAAAGCCAGATACAACGAAGTGGCAGGGCAAAATCACTGGTGGGATGGTGTCATGACGACACCCGAGTTAGTAAACTTCTATTATACCCAGACAAATAATGACGATACCCTGCCGCGGAAGATGCAACATTTCCTCATCTTGATCGGCGACCCTGGAGACATGGGTAGTAAGAATGGGATTCAGGTAAAACAGTTAGAGGACCCAGGACGCTATGGCAAGGTTGGTGTTCGAGGGCACGTTATTAAGACGTCCAATGTCCGAAGTCTTGAGTTTAATCCCACCATCTGGAAGGAGTCGGTCACAATCGATGGGCAAGACTTGAGTCTAGCTGAGACAATAGCGGTGACTATCTCTCCCATCAGTGTTTACAAGTCAGGTGATGGCTGGACCATCGGCACGCGTACTACAGACTCCACGCGACCTGAGAGGACTGGCCGACAGCTGGGCTCTATGACCGCTATCCTTCGTACCCACGGGCCATTCATTATCCAGCACCCAGGCTCTGCTAATTCATCTCGCCTTGCGTTGCAGGTTTCACGCAATTTACACCAGTATTTCCAAGCAAACACTTACATTCTTTCCTCCGCATTGGACCGTCCTTCTCTGAACCTCACTGGCAACATCATCACTTTAGCAACAGGCTCCAGTCTCGAGGCTAGTCAGACAGATTTCCCAATCCACGTCGGCAAGTACGGGATCACCATACGGGGTTACCGGGAACAAGAACATCGATACGGCCAGGAAGCTAGAGCTGCTGCATTCTTGCGACCACTTGGAGGCGAGCGTCTTGAGCTTGTCGTTTGGGGTGCGGATGATGAGGGGTTACGACAAGCGTCTCGGATGGTCCCTATGCTGACGGGTGTCGGACAGCCTGATTTTGTGGTCTTCGGTGAAAGCGCAAAGTGGAAAGGAATCGAGGGCGTGTTAGCCATGGGCTTTTTTGACTCTGACTGGGAGGTCGCTCCAAGTAGTATCATAGAAAGCGAATGAGCGATACAGGGATTCAAGCCTGAAGAGGCAGTATCTGGTTGCGGGTAGCAAAGGCTCAACAGCTCTCGTCAGGCTTGTGAGGTGCATATTTTGTACTCTAGGGCTACGGCGAGCGCAATGTCTCAGGAAGTAGGTTGATCTGATTCAGTCCCGACATTCGACTTTTCCGTCTTCTGTGCGGAATCTGTCTTTTCGGGCACAATGCTCTTTCCGTTTGCTGGTGAAGACGAATGCGGAACGTCCCGACGCGACGCGCCTCCCTATAGTTGCGCTCACCTAGTCTGCCGAGAAGTTTCCATTGCTGTCACCCCACTGCCCTGACTCCTCTTGACTTCGCTTCAGTCTCTTCCTTCTACTCTGCTGTCGTTCTTTCCTCACAACGACACCTTCTGTGACCTACTGATTTATGTGCATTTGAGCTGTTCTCTCGTCGCTTCTGCATCTACTTTGGCTATATACGTCGCCAAACGAGCCACGCTGAGCCTTCGTCCTGCATATTATCTGCACATTTGCCCAATAACCCCAGATTTGTTTCAAACCGCCTTCGGAACTGCAGTCTTCACCATATAGCTTGGAGACAACTGCTGCCTCCCGGATCTAAACCATCTACCCACACTTCCAAGCTCTACTACCATGAGCTTCAACATAACTTCCGACGGTTCTCCTACACCCCGCAAGGGCCCCAATCGATTCGCCATGGCCGGAGACCTTAGGATTGACACTTCGCCAGAGGTACTGGGCCAGGCGGTAGGCAGCATGAGCCTGAACCAATACCCATTTGCCTTCCAGCGTGTTTTTGGCTCACCGTTGACGTGCAATACACAGGGCATGAAGCGACCACTCGGTCCTTCTACCCTGGGCAACCAGCTTCCGCTGCAACAGCACAGCTCGTTCGACGGCTATAAGGTCAGTCAAACTAGCATCTATTATAGGCTCACCGTCACTAGCTTCCATAGCGCCCAAACTGACCTATACAGAAGCCCAAGATGGAAGCTCACGAAGAGTCGGCTGTCATGGACTCGCTCCTACAGCGGCTAAACGGTCGCTCCCCTCCGCAAGACCCGTACAGCTCGTCCAGCGGATCCATTCCCATTACGCCAGCCACAGACGAGTTCACTTCTACCCCACCTACCGAGATGGACAGCTCCATTGTCCTCGTCGAGGCCAGCGAATTGCAGAAGCTGAAGCTGGAATTACAGGAGGCTCGCAACGAAGTCAACCGCGTCAACCAGGAGATGCACAGTCACCATGTAGCCCGGTCGACCATGGAGCACCTGAGCCAATCGTCTGAGGCTGATTACAGCTATCCGGGCGATGTCACTGAGCAGACTCTCACGAGTTTGCAGAACAAGTTTAATGCCTCCACCAGGAGCAATTACGGCTGGGGCAATGAAGCTGCTCGTCCGGCCTACACCGGCAGTAATAGCTTCGGACCCCCATATCAGGCCCAGACGCAACCTCAGGTCCAGCCCCGACCACAACCCCCACAGTCAGGCTATCGCCGCAACGGTTTCTTGAATGAACCCACACACTTCCCTCTCGACCAGAGCTTCCGCAGTAATGGTATGTCCACCAGTTTCAATGCTGGCATGGGTAACAGCATGCCGAATCCCATCGGCATCGGCAGTAGCTTCAACAACAGTATGGGTGTTGGCATGGGCAACGGGTTGAGTAACCCACCTAGTCGACCTAGTTCAGCCTTCGATTCAGGCTACAACCAGTACGCTATGCCACCCATGTATCCCATAGGCCATCCAGCTCCGATTGGCACCATGGCCAGCAGACTATCGCCTGACGCAAATGAGTTCAACGTCCAGAACAGCATGGGGCCATCACCTTGGAACTCCCAGGTCAGTCATCACTACGACATATCGAACCTTGGTATTTACTGACATGACCTAGACCCAAAGTGAGTCAGGTACTTCACAGTACGTCCCCTCAGTTGAACCGATGAATTATCGTCGCCTATTGGACCGCAATATGAGCTGCAACTGGAAATACATTGTCGATAAGATCATTTGCAACAACGACCAACAAGCATCTATCTTCCTTCAGCAAAAGCTCAAAGTAGGCACACCAGAGCAAAAATATGAGATCGTGGAGGCCATCATCTCTCAAGCCTACGCTCTAATGGTTAACCGTTTCGGCAACTTCCTGGTACAGCGATGCTTTGAGCATGGTACGCACGAGCAAGTTATTGCTATCGCCCAAGCCATCCGCGGAAATACTCTTGCTTTGAGTATGGACGCGTTCGGCTGCCATGTCATCCAGAAGGCCTTCGACTGTGTTCCGGAAGAGTACAAGGCAACCATGGTCCATGAGCTACTCCGCCGCATTCCAGAGACTGTCATTCACCGATACGCATGCCATGTCTGGCAGAAGCTCTTTGAACTCCGTTGGAGCGACTCTCCACCCCAGATCATGCGTTATGTCAACGAGGCTCTGCGCGGCATGTGGCATGAGGTCGCATTGGGTGAGACAGGTAGTCTGGTCGTACAGAACATCTTCGAGAACTGTCTTGAGGAAGACAAGGTATGTTGAGATACTACTAAGCATGTGTTCCCATCAGTACTAAATCGAACAGCGTCCCTGCATCAACGAAGTGCTCGCAAGTATCGATGTCATCGCTCATGGTCAATTTGGCAACTGGTGCATCCAGCATATCTGTGAGCATGGCGCGCCTGCTGACCGCAGTCGTGCCATCGATCATATTCTCCGTTTCAGTACAGAGTATAGCATGGATCAGTACGCTTCCAAAGTCATTGAGAAATGCCTCAAGATTGGTGGTAATGAATTTTTGGATCGGTATCTGGACCGCATATGCGAGGCTCGCCCTGATCGTCCGCGTATGCCCCTTATCGACAGTAGGTTCCAGATTACTCTCTCGGTGTGAATGGTTGCTAACTCTTCGAAGTCGCTGGTGATCAGTTCGGCAACTATCTCATACAGTATGTCTTGACAAACAGTAGCACACAACATCGCGAACTCGTTGGTGGCCACATTCGCAAGCACATGGTCTCTCTTCGCGGCTCTAAGTACGGATCTCGTGTAGCCATGCTCTGCTGTAACCCTGCTCTTGCGACGCGCCCAGGACCTCCAGCAGGTATGCTTCCCCGCTATGGCAACCCCGCACCGCGCCCCAGTTTTGGCGCTTTCCGTTGAAGGCATGTTTACCAATCCACATGTCTTCGTCCACATGCGTATCGTTGGGTATTATCAGCCAGTGCACCGCTCGCTCGATCTCGTAAAAGGTATCGTGGATATGCCCAAAAGCTAAGATCAATGTCGAAAAAATTGTCGAAAACCATTGGCTTAAGACGAAAAATACGCATTTCCTACAGTTGGCTGGGATAACATCGACTCCTGCACACCTTATTACGACAGATCCTTTCTTGTTTATCCCAGCATTTTCATAGGGCCTGGAATACTTGGTAGCGTTAGCGTGGGACATGCTGGAGAAGACGATATGGTGAACAGTCAACTGAATTGTACCTACATACTTATCCATCTTTCCGAAGCAGGCTGATTCAACGGTAATACAGTTACGGTAATGCTACCATCTGATGTATGCACTCTCCGATGGAATGAAAGCTTAATAGACCTCACCTCTAATGTTGACTGTAATGCCTCAGGAAAGGTCACTAGCATTAACGTGCTGTCGGAAACTGCTACATGAACATTAAAAACAGGAGTTGCCACTCATTTTGTTGTCAAAGTTAATGTGCGGAGCCGCTCGGTGAATCGTGGAGTTCATGCGGGTTTCGGTGGCAACTCGGACACGGTCGGAAAGGTGTTTTGCACGTGTTGGTAGAACAAACTTCGAGCTTTGCAAAGAACTGCGAGCCCTTGCATCAGGTACCACGTTCTGGAAAGGCCGGACGACCATGTGTTGAGGAGAAGGAAGGTTGGCCGCAGCTCTGCAAAGTGTGAGCAGTGCGAGCGGCGAGCGGCGAGCGGCAATTGAGGAGATGCCGCTTCGGCGCAAAATCCGAACAGCATGCGACGTGCGACATCTTGCCGACAAGGAGCAAACCAGGGATGCATTGCTCACAAGCTTACAGAGTCTTACTTAGCGGCTACTTGCATATTGGAGTCAAGGGTGAGTAAGTAACGCGTAGCATGATGCAGTTTCGGAGATACTTGGAGGAAGAACATGTTGGAAGCATGTGATGATTGGTCGCATGACGCTGGGAACACATCCCGTAACGGGGCAAATATTCTTCATCCAGTACCAATACGCGAGCAATGAAGCAAGAGCAGATTGAATCGCTAAAGAAGATTTGCTCAATCGATCATGCATCGGTGACCTGATCTCAGCGCGCACGATAATCGGCCCAGCCTGGAGGATGTAGGGCTAGGCAGGGCCTGCCGAAGGCACTTACCTCATCATCATAACCCGCACTTGTCAACGTGGGTCTAGCGGCGCCGGAAGTTCGGCGACGTCACCATGGTGTAGTTTTGAGCGTTGCGTTATCTCTTATTAAGTCGCCGCATGCGCCGTCATATTTTATATGTAATTCCAGACTCCGTACACGTACTCATCCAAGTTCCCCAACACCTGGTGTAACCAAACGTCAAGTTTTCAACAGCCGCTAAACTCTCACGACAAACCAACACACTTGCACCCCAAATCAAAGCAATTTCCACTTAAGACAAAATGAAGGTTCTTACCAAGGAAGAGGAGGAGGCGCATTACAAGTAAGACCCACGCATGAAGGGCAATTGTGGAAGTCGTACTGACAAGTTGAAGTGCCACAGTCAAGGGCGGATCAATCGGTGGTATCATTGGTACGGCGGTAGGCGCTGCAGGTGTCATGGCTGCGAGTAGAAGATACCACTCCTTCAGAGCGCTCACCGTCCCGTTTCGAGCTTTCTTGGTCGCTTCAACAGGAACATTCGTTGGTGAGTTCCCGCACGCCACACTGTAAGACTCCAGAACTCGTATCCTAACAATGCTACCCCACAGCTGTCATTGCCGCCGATCGAGCCTCCGCAGCATACGATATCGAACACACACCCGAAAAGAAGCGCCAAGTTGAACGTGAGAGGGAGCGCGAAGCCCTCTACGAACAGAACAGAACCGCTTTCGAGCGTGCGAAAGACTGGGCGACCGAAAACCGATACCCACTTCTCTTCGGTTTCTGGATTGCCTCCATGGCTGGCTCATGGCACATGGTTAACCGCAACCCATACCTGAGCGGATCACAGAAGCTAGTGCAGGCGCGTATGTACGCACAGGGTGGCACACTGGCGGCGCTGCTAGGCAGCTTTGCGATTGAGGGTGCGGATGCAGCGAAGGGCAAGGGAAGGTGGGAGACAATCAGGGTTATTGACCCGAATGATCCCGAGCACAAGCATGTTATTGAGAAGAAGATCCATCACGAGAGATATGCTGGCGAGGACCAGTGGAGAGGTATGTGCACGTTTATTGGATTGTATATTGGAAACAGCGAGCTAATTCAATAATTCAGAGATGGTAGAGGCCGAAGAGCAACGCGAGAAGGAGCGCAAGGCTGCTGCGGCAGGCAAAGAGCACCAGGCGAAACAGCATCAGCATGCTGCTGACAAGAAGGAGGAGAAGGCCGAGAAAGAAGAAGACCAGAAGAAGAAGAACAAGGCTTAACCATGGGTTGACCTCATTTCCTACACCGACTCACGACGACCTCGAATACCTCTATTCTTCCGATCGGCCCATGATTCGGTCTATCCCTTGTCTTTTAAGAGCTCCATCATCATTATTGGCGTTTGGATGAAAATCAATCTGCGGCACTTCTCCGTGTACCTACTACGTCTGTATGATTAGGGCGTGTCCTGGTGGCTGGATTGCGAAGCGGCGTCCGCGTTGTATGCAGATATGAGCGCATTTTATCGTACCTATGTAAATCAGTTTCCATGCCATGTCATTGTGCCTGAGGGGTCTTTCATCACAATTGCACAATTTTGTGTAACTTTTGCGCGTTATTGATTTTGTTTTGCCCAGCCCTACAGCCTGCACACGATCAATTCTCAGGGTCCATCATGACGTCTGCGTTCCTGGGTTGGTGCATCAAGCACGTCACATGCTTTCGTGATGAAGCTAATAGGTGCATACATGCTGTAGGACTCCTCGTTTCATGTGAAAAGTAACTGCTTACCGGGATTCTACTTTAACTAAGATTACGAGTACTACTACTACTTCAACCTCAGTTTCACCCTTGTACCCTGGTTAGAGTCAAGCGGTCGGCTCTACCCGGTTCGAGCAACACAGATATGAGCCAATCGGATATACCACGAACGCTGGAGTCAATATCGCAGACGCTCATACCGAACACTAATCTTGTTCATCCACCCAAAAAACCTCAAGATGCACAACTTACAGCGACCATCGCAGACTTACACGTCCATCCTACTATCGAGACACTGTTGCATATCCTGAACCACGATTTGCCCTCTGCACACTTCCTAGTGCGGCACATGCAGGCACCGCCAGCTGTGGAAGGAATGTTGCTCCATGGTATCTTGCACCGTGCGGAAGGCGACTTTGACAACGCAAGAGCATGGGTAGGCGACGTGGCAGACGCATGTGAAGGTTACCAGCCCAAGCATAAAGAAGAAGGTCAGAAGCTGGACGCTGAAGTCGCGAAACAAGTTGGCAGCAACTCTTCCATCTCTGCTTCGCTCATCGAGTTCGTCTACGGCGACCAGGAGCCTAAGAGTCTGATTGACGCCGTCGAAGAGTATCGAAGCAAAAAGAAAGTTGAGAGGGTAAATGATGAGGATGGCATCGAGAACAGGATAAGGGCCGAGGCGGAGAAGGTGCTGGAGTGGTGCAAGAATAAATTTGGAGACGGAGTATTTGACGATGCGACAAAGGCATGGGTTAAGAATAGCGAGGAAATTAGCAAGATCAGCGGAGACATGGTGAGTGGGGGAAAGGGACATAGAAAGTTCTGAAAGCGTGGATGGTAGCATAGTGATAGAGTGGCATGTATGGTGGGGTAGATGTAATTTCTCTCCTGCTGCTGCTGGAGCTTTGCGTTGAGCAAGGACGTCTAGAGCGATCGATACGGCGATCTCCCAGATTTCGGTAGCTTGTCGGTAGCTATCTAAGGACACGTTTATCTTCAGGAACCTCATGTCAAGCGATCCAGTGATAGTACCGGCGAGACGGGTGCCAAGAAAGGATGGTTTGGTCCTGCCCTCGATGGCAACGTGCATGCCCACTACCGCACACAACCAGGGTTCTGATGGCGCTCCACGGGGCAACAGCACGCGGGAATTCTGAGCAGGAATGTCTCAGAAGCCGGTATACAAACAGGGTGAATGATGCAGCCAGACCGTCATCTGTACGGCAGTAACCACCACCTGGGCTTAAGCGAGGATGCGGGCCAGGGTGCAGCGACGAATGGCGGCGAGGCACTCGAGAAGCGGTCGGCCTGTGACATCAACGGCCAGCTTTCACCCCTAACAACGCCATATTCTTCCCGCACCACGTGCAGCTCTCGGCTGGACTGTACACGCAGAAATCATGGCCGACGAATCCCTCAAGCCCAACGGCCAGAGCCGTCCGAGCAACGTCAAACACCACACATCGCCGTCTCTCATGATGAACTCCCACTTTGCCGGTGTGGGCGAGAATGCCGACAAAGGTGCCTACGAACATGGCATCCAGGTCATTGACGAGGACAAGATGTTCAAGTATGTCTTCTGGCTGTGCAGGCAATTGGGTAGCAGAGTAGAGGGCTAATGGCAACTCGCTGTGCAGCACAAACCTATCCACATATCTCGGCATTGAGAAGGTTATCCCCTCGGGCTTCAACTACCACCTCATATCCGTCTTTGGCTCGCAGTCCACCGGAAAATCAACCCTCCTCAACTACCTCTTCGGCACCCAGTTCGGCGTCATGTCCGAGCAGGAGCGTCGCCAGACCACAAAGGGAATATGGATGAGCAAGAACAAGCGGGAGGAGGGTGGCTCCCACATGGCGGAAAATATCCTGGTTATGGATGTCGAGGGTACCGACGGCAGAGAGCGAGGAGAGGACCAGGACTTTGAACGCAAGAGCGCCCTCTTCGCGCTTGCCACGAGCGAGGTCCTCATCGTCAACATCTGGGAACACCAGGTCGGGCTGTACCAGGGTGCCAACATGGGCCTGCTCAAGACCGTCTTCGAAGTCAACTTGCAGCTCTTCGTCAAAGACAGCAAGTACGTTTGTTGACCACGCTAGACTCATCCCATGCTGACAACCACGCAGGTCCACACCCAGGTCCCTCCTGTTCTTCGTCATTCGCGACCACATCGGCACGACACCCCTCAAGAATCTACAAAACACCTTAGTCCAAGACCTGTCCAAGTTGTGGTCGACCATCTCAAAGCCCAACGGCCTGGAGAACTCGCGGATAGAAGACTACTTCGACTTCGCCTTCGTCGCTCTACCACACAAGATCCTACAACCGGAAAAGTTCGAGGAGGCAGTCACACAGCTTAGCACGCGATTCAAGGAGGGATACAACGACCCCAGGAAGAGCGGGCTCATCGACGAGTCGACGGCACCTATCTTCCTGCCACAGTACCACAGACGGATCCCCGCAGATGGTTTTTCCGCATATGCCGAGGGCGTATGGGATCAGATTGTCAACAACAAGGACTTGGATCTGCCCACGCAGCAAGAGCTGTTGGCTCAGTTCCGTTGTGACGAGATCTCGCGGGAGGTCCTGGTTGCCTTCGACGAGAAGATCACGCCACTAGAGGACAAGCAAGCCGAAGATGCTCGGATAGGGAAGCTCTCTGTTATAGCCGACCTCGGCCCTGCCATGAGCGCCGCACGAACCAAGGTCTTTAAAGATTTCGATACGAATGCGAGCCGATACCACAAAGGCGTCTACAAGCGGAAGCAGGCAGAACTTGAAGGCAAGGTAGATTCACGGTTGAAGGCTCTGTTCCAGAAGCAACTCACAGCTGCTCACAAGTCTGGGGTGGAATCCTTCAGCGAGGCCGTCAGTGCGGCGGTCAAGAGCGGTCAGAAGAAGGGCACCTATGACTTTGCACAAATTGTCGATTCAGAGAAGAAGCAGGCACTTGCCAAGTTTGAAGAGGATGCAAAAGCCATGGCTATCGAAGGTGCGGCCTGGAGCAGTCACGAGAACGAGTTGAAAATCTACAAGAAGGAGCTCGACGACGTATCTGGCCGTCTGCGCAAGGAGGAGATGAGACGGTTGGCCACACGTATCGAGCGCTGGGTACGATCACGATTGGATGAGTCTGTCGGTCTTGAATTCAACAAGCTCGGATCCGGTCGAGGCGGTTCTGGCGCGCCCGAGCATGGGGAGCGACCTCCGACAGAGAAAGATCTGTGGGACCGTGTCTGGACCATCTTTACCGATACTGTTTCAATGGCTGAAAAGCGATTCACCGATCGCGCATCGAGCTTCGATGCTAGTTCCGACGAAGTTGAGGTCGGTCTGTGGAGGTTACGGCGCAAGTCGTGGGCTGTGCTCCGCGCAAAGATTGATGAGGAAGTTATGGAAGGTAACATCCTGTTAAAGCTAAGAGAAAACTTCGAAGACAAGTTCCGCTACGACGAGCATGGCGTCCCAAGAATATGGCGGCCCACAGACGATATCGAAGGCATCTACACCAAAGCCCGAGAGTCGACAATCACTGTCATTCCACTACTCGCTCGTTTCAAGTTGGCCAAAACATCGAGCCCTCCACCACTCGACGCCTGGATCGGCGAAGCACCCGCCTCGGTAACGCCCGCAGATGAAGACGACTTGACACCCATTGGTGGTCTAGACGATGAAGAGGGCAAGACCCTGGAAGAGGAGATGACGATTCTCTCCGACGCCAAGCAAGCCGACCTTCTTGTCCGCTTCAAGAAGACTGCAGATGGTGTCTATGTGGAAGCCAAGCGTAGCGCGATTGGTGGTATCACACAAGTTCCGTTGTACTTCTACGGCTTACTCCTCGCGCTGGGTTGGAACGAGATAGTAGCTGGTAAGTTCCCTTGTCGTCCCTTCTCTCCGCTATTTGTCGACTAACACTTCCCAGTTCTTCGCAACCCAGTATACTTCATCTTCCTCATCCTCCTCGCTGTCGGCGCCTACGTAACCTACACTCTCAACCTATGGGGCCCCATGGCACGAATGGCCAACGCTGCATCGCAGCAAGGTCTTGAAGTTGGCAAGGAGCGTCTTCGTACCTTCCTTGAGAGCTCGGATACAGGACGCCAAGCTATGGCTATGAGCGGTGGTATGAATGACACCAGGAGACAAGAGAATGTCAGAATGGACAGGCTGAATGGGGACGGGAAGAAAAGCAAGGCTGAGGAGGAGGATCTGGATGACATTTGAGTGGGTGCTTTGCAGTGGTCTTTTGGGTAGACGCCGTTCAAGGTAGGATAAGTGAAAAGAATTGCATGTCATTGATGAGGTTGGGTTTGTGGGTTATTGATAGACTCCTAGAGGATGGGACGACTTCGTCTCCAATCAGAAGTTGAATACTTGAGCCAGGAACTTGAGGTGTCCATTGTACAACGAGCTACCAGCAGTAGCCAAAAGTTCTAACTGCATCTAAACACCGAACTTTCTGGGATCCAAGCTACCAATTTGCGCACTCTTCACATCGCCATCCCACACAAACTCACTCAACAACTTTCCGGTCGCAGGCCCGTTCTGAATACCCCAACACGTGTGTCCAGCACCCATCAACAGACCTTTCACACTGGTCTTTCCGATAAGCGGACCGCTACCTCTACTTACATTCGGCAGGTAGCACGCTTGTCTTGCTGTGACCTCACCGTCTCTCAACTCCTCTGAGATAGCGGAGACCTGCTCAACGATTTCTTGACATCGGCTCTCATCACATTGAACCAGATCAGTGGATGTAGGAAGGGGCACGAGATGGTCACCTTCGCCGCACGCGTAGACTTCCTGGTTCGGTCGAGCATAGATTTCTGGTGTGACGGTCTCGCCGCGTTTGCCGTTGCCGCGTGGCATATCTATTGAGGTGAAAAGTGCGTAGGCAGAGACGGGTCGCGAAGGGCGAATGGTGACACTGTGAGCACGGAGAGCTGAAATAGGCGAGGGCTTCCAGACTGTCCTCGTCCATGGGCCTGCCGTAAGGATAATGGTATCGGCGTCGAGTTTTGCCTCTTCGCCTGACTCTTTACTCTTGTAAGAAACAGACTTGACCGCGCCGTTCTCTTGCTCGATGTTGGTAGCAGAGCCGTAAACAATCTTGACGCCCTTCTCTTCTGCAAGCTGTGCCATACTCGTTGTGAAATGATAAGGATGCACTTGCGCCGTCGTGAGTGGTGTACCCATTTCCTCGTAGGCCTTCATGCCATCCGCGGCGACCCAATCCAAATCTTTCGGTACACCAGCAGCGCGTAGTAAACCGATCGCTTTCTGCGTCCGCTTTTGCAGGCTCACTGAGTCCTCTTTGCTCTTGCCGTTCGTTCCATCTTTGGTACCTTTGCTCTTGGCTAGAACGCCATACATGTCAACCTGACCACAGTGTACTGCTCTGTAGCCCCAACGCTCAGCGCCACCATGTTTCTCAGCTAGCTCTTGATGCAGTTTGTAACTTAGTGGAACAATGCAATTTGGGTATGCCCATAATGCTAGAAGACCACCGGCTTTCCCCGATGCACCACCAGCAATCTTAGTGGCTTCCAAAAGTGTGATGCTGTCTTTTTCTTTGTTGAAGTTTGGGTGGTGCGAAAGAAAGTATGCTGTGGTAGAGCCAATTATGCCGCCACCTAAGATCGTTAGCAAGAAACCTTCGAGACAGGTAGATCGATTGGTTCAAATTACCAATGATAACGATATTGCGTTTTTGTTGATCCGCTGCCATGATGTTTGTTAGGCGTGAAGTTGCTTTTAGCATGAAGATGTTGATGTTTTGCAAGCGTGGCGTTGATCGTTTGGCACTTTTCGGGAAGATTTAAACCGATTACTGAGATACGTCATAGTTCACATGCGTGCAAATGTTTATTAACCAGCTCTGATAACGTGCACATTATGTTGGAATCGAGATATTAATCAGCTATAATGTAACACAATAGTGATGTGAATGTCTAGACAAAGAAGGAAAATCGTACAACGGCTATAATGGAGTTGCACCGTCTCAGAAATCTCCACCCATGTCTCCCATGTCTCCCATGTCGTCGCCTCCCATATCTCCTCCACCCATATCGCCATCGTCACCATAGTTGTTCTCCACATAAGTATCGCCGCCGTCCCCGGCCATTGCCGATCCAATAAGTCCACCTGCCAGCAAACCTCCTCCTGCTCCAAGGGCCATGCCTCCCATGCCGCCTCCTCCTCCTGGACGCCTGCCACCGCCCATCATACCGCCACCCATAGGCATACCACCACCCATTGGTCGGCCATAGCCTCCTCCGCCATAGTAGCCTGCTCCACCCGCCTGGCCGTATGCTGGCTGTCCATAACCGTGCTGTTGTTGTGGGTACCCGTGCGACGATGATGAGTGTGACGAGCCAGTAGCCTTTCCAAGGATCTTGCCTAATAGACCTTTGCCTTTGCTGCCCTTGTCTTGTGTATTCGCATCGTGGTGTTGTTCTTGCGGATACGAGCTGGTGCTCTGCTGGCCATATCCGCCGTACTGCGGTGGTTGCGACTGCCCAGGCTGGTTGTAGTAGTCGTTCGATTGTCCGCGTGTATCGCTCGAGTGTCCATTGGCGCGCGCTTGTTCTTCTTCTTGTAGCCTTCTCGCAAGCGCCTCGTCCTCGCTCGTGTTCGCGTAAGGGTTATTGCTACCGAATCCTCCCTTCTCGTTCGCGGCTGAAGGATATCCACCGACAGCGCCACTTGCTGGAGGCGCATACCCAGGAGGAGCACCAGCGGGCGGGGCCTCGCCGGGAGGGTAGACAGGTTCGGTCGGCTTGTCCCATTGTGATTGCTTTGTGTAGACGTTGACGTAGAACCATTCGTTGTATTGCGGGTTCCAGACGGCTTTCCAGCCTTCCGGTACCTTGGGTGGGGGAGGGCCCTGTGAATCCAGTTAGCCATGACCACGCATCACCATGGTTGTGACCGCCATATACATACTGGTGGTGGTGCGAAATCTGCCATTATGTGGTCGATATGCGAAAATCAGGTACCAGGTTTTGGAACGAGAAAGGAGACTTTAAGACAAAGGTAGCTTCAAATCACGTATAATCAAGTAATGTCGCAATGTAAGCTGGATGGCGGGGTGATGGGCTAATAACCCAGGGCATTACGCGCGAACGGGAGCTTCGATCGAGTGCGCGTCATCGTGGCAAACGAAAGCAGCGCCACGTGCCTGCTGAGCCACAATGCGCCATGGTGTGATCACAGCTCCAGGAACATATTCCGTAGTTCCGTGTTTTGTGCGCGATGATTCGGATGGGAAAGGTGGACATGGAACGGTATTCTCTGAGAATGATGTCATTGGGTGTTCAACATGCGAACTACTCTAATGGGGAGCTAGCCCTGCATCGGTACTAGTAACGATGCACAACATCATATCCATTATTTTATATGCAACTCCTAGTCTTTAACTGTAAGGCGCGTGATACCTTCATACCCTAGAAGCTACCTTGTTGCTCTTCTTTGCTCTCTCGATAAAGTCTTCGACGCTTCTCTGCTTAAGTGGCTCCTACAGGTCGGATTCTTCTACAGGCATGCAAATGCATGCCTGTTTGTATGGCTTATCGAATGCTTCACGAATTTTTGGTGGCACATTTTGTGCAGTATCTTATGCATTAATGACAGTGAGGGTTCCGATAGGAAAGCTGAAAAGCAATGCGGAATATTATAATGCAGTTGCGCTGTGGAAGTTGAGCATTACAGCCTCAAGCTTCGGCAGCATACCTTGCGTCTTTAGTGATGGACTCAAATCTTATTAAAGCTGCTCAATTCTTTGACACAAGAGTGGTAATAGGTTATCAGCATAGCCCTGGAATCCTAGACTATAATCGTTGTTGTAGGATACGCGTCCCAGCTCAAGGTTCGACAGATGTCACTAGGCTGGTGAGAGTCTAGGATTCGGAACAGTCTAGTGAATGTAGGCTCTTCCTTTTATCAAAATTGTCTGTTCCATAGAGTCTGCCCTCGCGAGGATGCTTAAGGAAGAAGACATTGCAGTCGGATATCTGGAAGGGAAGTGGCTTAGATAACGCGACGCGCTGGCCGTGACGACGAGCAAACAAGTAGGCATTGTTGTTGGCAGAGTAAAGAGAAAAGGGGCCGGACGTTGCGCAAGGTTGGAGAATTGCAGAGGACTGACGGCGAAAATATGCAGGTTGGTAGCAGAACGTAGTATCGGTGTTAGGGGAGAGAATTCAAAAGGCCATCATGCTACAGGGCAACAATGAGAACTCTATTCAATAGCGCAGAACGAGCAATGTGGTGTTATCCATCGACGTGTTCTTTTTTAAGTGATAGACCGCAATGAACCCAGCTACGAGCATTAGAGAAGACTGAGGCAGAACCCAAGGTAGATACAGACCAGGTCTGTTGGCGTAGAAAGAAGGTTGACAAATCCAATCAGCGAGGAGATGTGGGAGAAGGTCCCGGTGTATCAGTCAACAGGCCTGAAGTCACTGCAGTCGTTGGGCCAAGCTATTCGTCAAAGCATATCGCGCGTTTGACCCAGCCCACCCAGAAACGTCGGCCGTCAAGAGCGCTTCTAAGGGCGTGAAGTAAAGGTCGACGCCATTTCGTGAGCCTCCGGCAAGGATCAAGAAAGAGCTAAGCCACAAGCCGTACTTACGAAGAGCTTGGTGTTCGTTGTAGAGTAACCATGTAACCACGTTCTTTTTGCACAGTCTTACCTATCAAGAAGCTAACACGGCTAGACTTCGTCCAGCATAGGCCAGAGATCCACTCTGTCGTATGTCCAAGAGCGGTATACCGGTGTAAGACCCCACTGCTTCATCTTGGGCACACAGGGTGACTCTTGAGGAAGGTATCCGAAAGTCATCTCGTATCGAGTGCTTCTATTGTGGCGCATATACCGTGATTGGAGCCTGTCCGGCGGCCACCGATGCAATCCATATGCGGCTTGAGAACAATGTACCGGCATGGCGAGGGCCGCACCAAACGATGTGTTGCAGAGCCCCACGCATAGGTCTCACGCATGTTGCATTTGGGCGGAGTTCCAGTGACTGATTATGGAGTCTGGTCCACAGCTGCGTTGCTGACCCGAGCTTCAATTTGCCCGCACCAAGCATCAGAAAGCCGTTACAAGCTTGTCGATCTCCAGAGTGTTCATGCGTCATGGGAACTTGACGATTTAAGCACGAATACGGCTCCTCAAAATCAGTATTCTAGTGGAACGGCATACTTGTCAGCCTCGACTTGTTGTTGGGACGCATCCTACCGTGCCGCTCGGAGGACGATGGTACCAATCGACGGTGGAAATGGCGCCCGAGATGTTCCGGTGGCAGGCTCGCTTGTATGCATCTTAGCCAGACGCCTCGGTAATGGCAACTTGAGACGGGATATCGACATCAATGTGGCATAGCGTTTAGGTGGTAAACAGCGCATCTCGGTGAATGTGGAGATGCTTGGCAGGGCTTCGGTATCTAGACTCAGCGGTTCGACAGGATTCTGTGTCGTCGATGATTTGCCAGGGCTGGATATCGGCTCCATGTGTGGTCCTCAGAGCTGCGTACCACTGTGTACTGTTAGCTTCAAAGCGCGATTTTCGGAGTCTTTGTCTGTGCGGGAGTCTATGCAAGACGCGTCCCAAGCATACGCTTGATGTAATCGCCAACCTAACGCGTTGCTTATTGTCTGGATATCCGTATAGCGCAGATTGTGGAGCGGGGCGTCGGCCGGGAAACTTGTAACCAGGAACGAGGAACAGGCTGCGGGATATTCGGCGGGCGCGAGGCATTTTGACAATATTGGGAAAGTCGAGATAGAAGAGTGGAGTAACCATTCCAACTGGGTGGAGATGGAAGGTGGCTGAGTCGAGATTGCCAGGCGACTAATATGGTGTCGCGTGACGGCAAGTCGGGAACCTGCTTGGCGCTCACCACCACCAAGGCGTTATCAAGCCGGCCAATCCCCATGTCTCGGTGCCATCCACGGCCTTCGATTCCAATGCAGGGCAAACCTTCTCCAAGATGATGATTCAGGACGAAGACTACTTTATCCCGCCCAAGAGTGGCCGGTACCACTGGTACAATGAACCCCGCCAAACCTCAATCAGGTCGATAAGGATGACAGACGACAACACTGCTTTGAATGATTCGAGTCCTTTGTTGCAACTGCCTCGAGAACTGCGCGACGAGATATGGGAGCTGGCTTTCAACTCGACGAGGCTGACGTTCGGACTGCGATACACACCCCGCTATGGCGAGAGGTATCTCAAGCCTGCCCCACATTCCCTCGCGCTATTGCGCGTATCCCGCCAGATTCACATCGAAACACGCGACATATGGCTTCAGCGTGTTACTTTCAATTTTGAAGACCCTCAAACTATGCTAAACAGGCTGTCCGAATTACCGGATTCTACTGTATCCAAGATCCGCCACCTTCGGTTGATCGGCTCCCCAATGATGCGCTATCTCAAGGGTTTCGACGACCTCATGTACCGTCATGAATCCATCTTCCAGTTGCTTCCTGCACTCAGGTTGGACTGCTTGACAGTCTTTGCGGTGGCAGCTGCTGCGCCGGAGTATGACGCTATTACGAACCTGATAAACCGCGGCAACGGATGGAAAGAGCTTCGCTATGTTACTCGGAGTTCACGCATGCTCGGCTTTAGCCCATCCAGAAGTCACGGGTCTCGCGAAACGGGGGACATCTGCCGTCAGCCTCAGCCCAGGTTTTGGAACAAGAGATTATCAAACAGAGATGGAGAAGATTCCGGATCCGTTGTGCAAGTGTTCAGAGCGACTGAGGAAAATGACTGCACATCCGTCCTTGATACCAACAGGCGGGAGCCTTTTGAACAGAACCCACAAGAGCATCAGCTTGAAGGATTCGGCAGGGTTGACGACGAAGAGCTGACCAGGGGGGTTGGTGCCCGAAAAGCATTACTCGTCTTAGTGAAGCGCGGCGACAATGTAGACGTGACTCAGAAGTCGCCTGGATACGGAAAAGAGCGTGACATGAAAGCGAGGTTTAACAAGAGAAGCTGGAGGCTACGCAAAAAAGTCATCGTGTGGACACCGTTAGATGCGGAGAAAGACGACGATGATGTTGGTAACGGCTGGGCGAGACCTCAGATACGGCGCCCCCCGTACGGCTTCGACGATTACTACGACATTGATGACATATGAAAAGAATTAGGTGACCTGATGCTGTAATTCTTGGGGGTTGAGGAGCGGCCGGCTCGCATCCGCATTGTTCCATTCCATTTGCGACATTCAACATGATGCCTTCTCGACGTCCATAACTACGAGGACCACTGATTGCGGCTGGCACCGCACGATGCGTTCTGACACGGTTTCAGAGACTGTACGAAAATCCATTTGCATCTCTCTGATCCTTGCTTCCCAGCTAGACGTCATTGGAGCAACATCACGAATTATACCATGGACGGAATAGGACAGCTGATTTTGCATAGCTTACAGGAGCGGTTTGCGTATATCGGCTGTGGTATGAAAGACGTTCGGGTGTTTCCAAGTCTCTACTTGGAAATCGGAAACTCGATGCCATCACCGTCACGGAGCGTCATAAGGGTGATAGTTATGGTTCGTGCAGTCAGGTTATACAGGGTGTATCGCCCTTCTACCCTTTTCTTTAACTGGATTTTAGCGTATTGGTCGGGTGTATCGGCTTGTAGTCAAGATTGTCTTGATGGAATGTTTCGGTGCGTCATTGAGATCTCTTTGAGCAGGCTCAAGCAGATAGACGTCAGAACGAATGTCACTCCTGTAGAATCTCTACGTCTCATCGTTACTCCTGTTACAGTGCATTGTCTATCGAGAGGTGTCATCATCGTCTGTGTGTTCACGGTGTGAGATAGACTCATACATGATCTCGGGCACGACAGTCTTCGGCTGTCGCAAAGCCATCGAAGACAGATTTAACGCTCACGTTACGATGAGAAAAGATGCCTGTGATTACGCATCAGGTGATATTTCAGATCACGTTACCGCATCCCCTTGCGAGTACCATGATATGCAATCCCAGACATGGTGTCCAACAAGGTACTACCACACACAATCATGCACCTCTACTACCGCACAAACAAAATTCTCTTTGCAAAACTCTGCCTAGACTCTTCTTGTACTTCTAAACAGCTTCCCGATTGCTGAACGACGAGCGGTTTTCCAAATCCCATCGAACAAACTTACCAAGATGTCACATGAATCTGTCTGGTATTCGCGCCCACGAACCTACGGAAAGGCTTCTATTGGCTGGTAGGCTGGAACCAATCTTGCTCACAAGATGGCCAGCTGCTAATTCTATGGACAGTGTTGTCACCGGTGACAAGAAGAAGTCTGGTATCATCCGCAAGTATGGACTCAACATGAGTCGTCAGGCTTTCCGCGAGAAGGCGCAGGATATTGGTTTTGTCAAGGTACGCTTGGGAGGCAGCCCTCATAGACAGGAACTAGGGTCGAGTAGAGAGTATAGGAGCTGACTGTGACTTAGTACTGCTGAGACAATCAGAAACCGGTGGAAATCCGTTATGAGGGGGCCTTTTGTCATCAAGATGCAAGGGCGCCATATCAAAAGTCTGATCATGAGTAGGGAGATAAGCCACCGAAGGAAGAGATCCATCTTGTGATTTAGGCTACATAGTTGAACTCCCTCTATATTTTCCAGGCCTTCACGTTTGAGCAAAACGGAGGCTCAACCTATATCTACTTATATTCCTAGCCAAGAATTGATACGACAACCTGGGATGACCTCCAAACCCCAAACATATTTTCACAAACTCTTGAACATCATTCATTGACGTCTATGCTACTGTATGCTAGCCTAGAATTGCGGAATATGATAGCTTTCCAACGCGTCCTCTAGCTTGAACATCGTATGCGATACTTGCGGCGGACCTGGCGGGCTCACATTCTCGTGGTCTTTCCCGATCTTCACGATTCGAGGAGCCTTTGTCACAACCTTACACTCGATCTTGCCTGTGATCTGTCCCACAGACTTGACCATGTCGAAGTTACTGTAAATATTGCTTAGCTCCTCGTACATCTTGTAGTAAGGAAGCCCGTGATGTATATATCTTTCATGGAGGATGGAGGGCACAAGAGGCCTGGCACCGGTGACAGCCTGGTATAGCATAGAGTTGAGAATCTGAGCATTGAAGACGGTCGTCTTAGTGGTATCCCAGTTTGGTGGATGTATATCGCGATGTATGACTTGCTTAATGAGACCGCCAGCTGCGGTGTTCATCTCAGGTGTGGATATGTGTACAAGGGAGCCGGCACCTCGAAGGCGGAGGACCATGTGGATAGTAGCCTCCTTGGAGATACGATAGTCTTCAAATGTTCGCCTATCTGGCATAGAGTTAGCGTATTAATATTATTTAGATTGTGATCCAAGGAATTCACCTTCAAGTTGCTTACCCGCATATATTAAGCGGATGATGCTGGTAGGGATACCCGTGGCCTCGCGAATACGGAGCTTGAAGTTCTCGATGGGTTCCAAGTTTGTGACATTGAAGGTCTTGGCCGAACCATCGAGCTGCTTCAGGAAGATCTGCATGGGTCTACCTGGGAACTCACACGGGCAAGCGAGCTTTTAAGGCGTGATTTCGATCTGTATCCCGCCTATTGCGTCCTTGCCAGTCATTTGTGTTTCAACCGAGAGTCCGCTGTGTAAAGGTGCAGCAACGAATTGACGAACTGTACCGTCTCCGTTAGCAATCCCGTCAATCCACTTCTGCCCTGGTACCACGACGTAATCTTGGAGAGGAGACGCGGGTTTGGGGTTCGACGGAGTAGTCTGTAGTCGTACTTGTCGACGAGAGCGGCTGGCCGTGGACTCCATAGCAGTTTGGGCAGAGACTACGTTTACGCCGCCAACGTAGATCTTGATCATATACGGCAGCATATCTTCGTGAACAGTACTGAAGTTGATCCACATTGCCTCGTATTCTGGAGCATGTTCGTTAGACTGAGACGCTTTGTCACAAGCAGTCATTGGCTACACTTACGATACATGGGGAAAAACACTCCTCCCTTGACAGCCATACCAGGAGGCAGGCTTTTGCTATGTTGCGATACGGGCTTGAGTGGGAAAGCGCCAAGGTCGGGAGGGAGCCAGTTTGATTCCTTAGTTTCGGGTACGCGAACTGTCCTTCGGAATGAGATCTTGAGGTCGCCGTTCACGACAACGCTGTCGTCTGTGAGCTTGCAAGTCATACCGATCACGGCCATAGCTGCAGTTGTTTGACTAAGCAGATTAGCTGCGGAAACTGATTGGAATTGCTTAGAGAAGTCAGGATCTAAGTTGAGCGCAAACGCGAGGGCGGGAGAGGTGAAGAATCCAGGAAGTGTCCAGGTAAATGTAGGAAAAAACCAAGCGTCAAGGCGGTCAGCCCGAGACGAACTTATGCGGGAGACAGAGGGTTCAACACATTTTTCGAGCTGAAATAATTTTTCTGCGTTTTGTGGGTTGTACGACGACATTACACTGTTTTCCGGTACGCTGACCCTTGTCCAATCTGAGCTCAACAACCAGCCGAAGCAAGACTCAAACCAGACCCTTCCGGCTCTCCTCAACCACCCTCAAGCTCTTCTGACAGTCCCCGCAATAACCTTTCACCCAATCCTCCACCTGCGTTTCCTTCCCCTTCTTGGCTGCGCTCTCCAAGAGCTTTCCAACCTTGCTACATTTGTGTGTCTCATCCAGCAGCCAGTTCTCGTATTCCGCTTCCACCACTTCTTTCTCAATTCGATTAACAACCCGTAGAGCAACGAGTAGGTCATGACGATGCGAGCCAAGGCTCTGTCGCGTACGGTGGAGACGCTGGGTGCTATGTGTGGAGGGTCTGAAGAATGACTGTGTCGAAACTGTCGACAAGGGGTCGTGAAGGAGGGTCGTGAATGTCTGATGGCTGTGCGAAGTTAGCTATGTCAAGACTTCAAGTCGAGGGCAACAGACCATTTGTTGTCGGTGCTGGCCGCAACTGGCACTGAAAATTCAAGACCCGTACTATTCCTATTCAAGAATGACTCCTCGATGTCGCGAATGTAAATCGAGCGTGTCATTGTAGTCGATGGCTTGACGCCCAGTCGCGACATGTAGTTTGCGGCATTTCGCTCATGCCACCAGCTCCAACTGTCTCTTGAAGTATAGAAGAAATTGGCACCACCACTGACTAACAGAAGGCCAAAGAGCAAAGAATGTGCTGAAATGACTTTGCCGAACCCTGCGCCAATCGCTAGTATCCAACTCATAACTGTTGACAACACACTGATGACGATGTTACCGATATATTGCGCGACAAAAGAGGCTGTCGTCTGTGGTCGTAACTTGAACTTTCGCGGTCGGTTTGGCGGTGGGATGTCCTGTGCATCGAGCTGCACAGCTTGTGTCTGAGCCCCAATCTGACCAAAAATGCCCGTAACCTTGTTCGTGCTTCTATTGTGACCGAGCCTTGCGACCTGGTCATTGACGACATCAACAAGGTCCTGCGCCTCAAGTTCCAAGTCTTGCAAGGCTTGACGTTCGATAAGCTTCTTCGCAAAACGTGGATTTCGCTTCCAGTCTACCTTTGTGTGAATAGCCAGCTTGCACCGTGCTTTCGAGACATGTGTGATGACAGTCTTGCTGAGAAGTACAAATCGCTCTTGGCCTGGCAGGTACCAAGGCGTTTTGCGATCCGAGACCACATAACAAAGATGATCGTTCAACACTTCGATGACTTGGTAGTCGTTTATAACAATAGCTCCGTTCTTACCCGGCTGCGCGACTTCATATTCAAAGTCCCTTCGTTGGAGGTTTTTGTCGCTTGTGATCCAGGGCCCTTGAACAATGCGGGATGCTCTCCTTTCCCGGTAAAGCAACTGGAATACAGCGCTTTTGTCGCCGAAGAGTATATGAAATAGTCCTTTCGCGCTAATGTCATATTCCTTCTCCACGGCGACTTGCGTCATGCCAGCAGGGGCGAAGACTACAGCTTGCGATGGAAGTTTGAATTTGGTGGCGTTCTTTCCAGCACTTGCACCAGATGGCCCAAATAGATTGCCATCGATGCGGAGACTGGCTTTGATATTTTTCCCACCACCATAAGTATTTGGGTCAATAGGTGTGTCTGGAGATATTTCCTCCCAGCCCTCCTCACCTGCTGAATTGAGACTTTCATCCGTCTCCATCTTGATCATTCCCTTGATCGTTTCTTCCAGGTTGTGCTCCCTAGAGGTAGTGTTGCGTACAAGGAAGTTCAAGCGACGCAGGAGCAGTTTGAGAGGCTCGAGGAACGTCTTGACAGTAAGCCTAGTTGCGCCATCTTCTCTGGAACCTGACTTGAAGTGTAGAAAGAGAAAGTCGCAGTCCTTGCCGGGTGCAGCGGTGACTTCATCAATAGAAGCCATGCTTATTCCAGTAATGAGCACAAGACCAAGATGATTGCTGTAAAAGTAAATATTCTTGGTTGTGACATACACACGTCCGGGGAACTCTTGTTGCTCTGTCGGATTCCATACAGCACGGAATACTAGCACAACCTTCTCCGCCCGTGGTACAGTAGGAAATAGTATACGGAACTGTGCGTCTTGCATCCGCAGAGCTAGAGGGTAATAGGTTGGGAAATCAACCTCTTCGGCATTGGGCTTGTTGAGTATCGGAATAGGACCTCCCATACTGCTTGACTTGCGATGAGCGGCGCTGGCCGGGACAGTAGGCGCTGCCTCTGTTCCATTCTTCTCATCGCTAGGCCCAAGGACTGGAGACGGATTGATGGGGCTTGGAGGTCCAGATTGACTACGATCACGGCTGTTGGTCTCTTCTTCGCGCCCAAGAACGTTGACGTATCCCCAGTTGACTGAGCCCCATAGGTTGGCCATAAGCCCACCAGGCATATTACCCGAACGACCGGTCCCAAGGCCTCGCTCTCCGCTCACAGCAACAGCGGCCTTGCTAAGATTTGTCGGGGCTGGTGGGCTCGCAAGGGTAGAAGGAGCTAGACTAGTATAAGGAAGTGTCTGGCCCATGACAAGGCGAGTATCAGGGAGTCCAGGTGCAGGAGCGGCAATCTGTCCAACCTGCACAATGTTATGACTAGCTGAGGCAAGACTCGCGGAGATGAGACTAGCAATACCACCGCTGGCAGAAGAGGGGTTGCTTCCACTCAACTGAGGGCTTACTGTTGACTTTCTTGTCAGGTCAAGTTTCTCCATGATCCTAGCAGTGTGATCGCGACGGCTGCTATCGCTTTCGGTCGTAGTGCCACGTCGAGATGACACATCGAAGCTGCCGCGTGTCGCATTGCCATCACCACCAGGAATACCAAGCGTTTCGGTACGGTCCATAGCGACTGTGTCTTCACCCGGGTGGCCAGCGTGTCCCTCGGAGGTCTTTGCAGCAAACTCAGGAGCTATTGGAGGGCTTATGGAGAAAGCAGCGTCAACGGATGCAGCACCCGACAGATCTTTGGATGTGTCTTCAAGGGCTTTGCGCTTGGCAACCTCAAAGGAGGAAATCCATTCGGTGATGTCGTTCTGGGTCTCGGCTTGGAGAAGGATGGTAGTGTCTTTCGTTTTGACCTCGAAGCAGAAGCGTCGCTCCTCGGCAAAGGCCGGTCGGATGCCGCATAGCAGCACACCAATCTTCTCTGATTCTTCAACCGCACCGGAGCGCGTTCCCTGCGTGAGCCAGCCGAAAATGCCATTCTTGACGAAGAACCAACGCCTGACCCAATAGGTCCTGGCGGGCTTGCCAGTGATTGTGCGCTGGAACAGCCAGCCTTGTTTCTCTGCCTTCTCGATGCCAAACTCAGGCTTTGCTGGAGATTGTAGGTTTGCCGACGAAGGCGCGGTGCCAAGATAGGGGACGGTGGAAGCTGCGTATGTATCCAAGTCTCGTGAAGGCCTTGCACTGACTTCGGCTGCACCCTCGATCTGCTGCCGTGCTAGATGCAGCTCTCTCTTGAAGACACGCTCGCCGTTCTCCATTTCCTTACTCCAGCCTCGTACACGCTCGACGTCTGAAGTCGACGCGCCGAAGCCTTTACTTGAAGCCTCTGTTGCGGCCTTCATGTCTTTCCATTGCTCGTTGACGACCTTGACCAGTATCTTGTCTAGTGTCAGTCGCACCTGGGGAGCCATGACGCAGAAGTTCATGCTGGCTTGGAGGTATGCCCGTCGCGCCTCATGCAACTGGAAGGCATCTTCTCTCAGCGATGACGCCTCCTTTGTCTTGACTTGGCCGGCATAACGGGCAATGGCTCCATCGAATGTGCGCTGTGTTGAGTCGAGGTTCTTCCGCGCCTCCTTCAGCATGCGCAAGTCGTTGGACACAAATGCTCTCATGGGCTCGCACATGGTCTGCTCAGCCCTCTTGATGCTGCGCAGCGTGCCATTCCAGAACTCGCGCGCGCCCTCTCCGAATCGCTTCAGGGCTAGGACGGTGTAGTCGTGGTCGACGACGGCTTCGGAGAGCTGTAATGGGGGATGCGAGGCTTGTATGTACGTGTCTACGAGTGCCTGCATATTGTTGCATTCGGCGGCAAGCTTCGACGTTGCCGTGACGAACGAGGTGAGCCATCGTTCTATCAGTTCGATCTGGTCGCCGTAGTGGACAGCGGTTGCGCGGAACGTGGGTGAATCGAGGGCGGCTTCTTTAATTACGACTGGTCTGGGTATCTTGGTCAGCGTGTCTGTCTCTCCCAGCTCAAGTCACCTGGACAAACATCAGATCCAGCGGTCTGGACACGGGCTCTATGCTGAGCTGCGGCGGCTTCTCGTCCGCCATGCTGCCGGCTGCTCGTGGAGAAGCTGAACAAGACTAGACAAGGGAGCTATCATACATGGTGGAAGGCGCACTCGAGCGTGTCGCGTGTTGACGCTTCTCCTCCCTCACGTACCGCTCGATTGGGGTTGCGGCGGGTCCATCGTCACTGCCGCGGCCAACGTCAGGGTTCATGCGCTAGCGCCGACTCCACCAAAATTTTGTGACGACCCGGCGCAAGCCAGTCCAACAACCACCTCAACATCCGCCATGGCAGGCACCAAGGACAAGAAGCGCACCAATGGCGTCAAACGCGAGCTGAATGCGACGAGCGAGCCACCCACCAAGAAGGCCAAGTTGCTCGACAACACCGACGACGAGGGCTCCGACAGCGATCATGGCCGAGTGTCGCTCAAGGTGAACGAGGAATACGCTCGCAAATACGAGCACAACAAGAAGCAGGCGGAGAAATTCCGACGTACGCGTATTCCGTGTCGAGTCATTTACAGCCACTAACTCAAAGCAGTAGAGGAAAAGTACGGCAAGGACAAAGCGTTCGAGAACGGCGGCGACGAATCCGAAGACTCTGAAGAAGGCGTGGAAGAGGATGATGCAGCCGAACTGCTCGATGAGGAACTCGACCAACAGGTCAATGCTACTCTCCAGGCTTTGCGCGCAAAAGATCCTCGCATCTACAACAAGGAAGCCAAATTCTACAAGGAACTCGAGGACGGCCAAGATGACGCAGACGCAAAGAACAAGGAGCCGTCAATGACGCTGCGAGACTACCACACCAAGAATCTACTCGAGGGAAAGTTCACAGTGGAAGACGAGGACGAGGATGCGCCGCCCAAGACATACGCACAGGAACAGGAGGATGCTAGGCAGGATCTTGTCGAGGCGCTCAAGGATGCAGATGAGGAAGAAGATGATGACTTCATCGTCGCGAAACAGAAGCCAGAGAAGTCCAACAACGACCGAGTCAAGATCACTGCCGAAGATGTCGAGAAAGCTGACCAAGACCCCGAGACGTTCTTGTCCAATTTCATGGCATCTCGTGCTTGGGTGCCGACACAATCTGCCCGCTTCCAACCCCTCATGTCCGACGACGACGAGGAAGACGCTGCTGCCGATGAATGGGAGAACTCATACAACCTATACTTTGAGGACACAACTGGCGCAAATGAGAAAATCATGACCTACGCGCGTGATGCCGTTGCAAGCACTACAGTCCGCCGAGATGATAAGACCGGTCGGAAGAAGGCTCGTGAAATGGCCAGGGCAAAGAGAGAAGCCGAAAAGAGAGAGAAGGAGCAAGACCTTGCACGTCTCCGGAAGCTCAAGGTCGAAGACATGGAGAACAAGGTCAAGCAAATTCGCCAGATCGGAGGTCTCAGCGGCAGGGATTTCAAGATAGAGGAGTGGAAGGATGTGTTGGAAGCCGACTGGTCAGACGAGCAATGGGATGCTGAGATGCAGAAGCGCTTTGGCGATGCATATTACGGCGAGGCTGGCGCCGAAGACGAGGAAGACGGCGGCAAAAAGAGCAAGAAGCCTAAGAAGCCCAAGTTTGACGATGACATCGACATCAAAGATCTCGTCCCTGACTTCAAGGATGACTCTGACGAAGAGCGACCCGACCTTTCATCAGACGACGAGATGCCCGATGCCGGAGCAGAGGACGGCGACGAAGAACAAGAAGAAGCAGAAGCTGGTGCATCATCCAAAAAGTCCTCTAAGCAGCGGAAACAAGAACGTGCAGAAGCCAAATCCACCGCCCGTCGCGATCGCCGCCTAATAGAAAACCTCGTCAACCAAAACCTTGAATACGAGGCAGCGCTTGCTTCCAAGCCCTCCAAGGCCGCCTCGCGCTTCCGCTATCGCGAAACGTCTCCCACGAGTTTCGGTCTGACTGCGCGCGACATTTTGCTCGCAGATGACAAGGCGCTGAACGAGTTTGCTGGACTGAAGAAACTAGCAGCGTTCAGAGATCCCGTTAAGAAGAAAAAGGATAAAAAGTTCCTCAGTAAGAAGGCGCGTATCAGGCAATGGAGACAAGACACGTTCGGCGATCCGGACGGACCCAAGGGTGGCTTTGAGGCTCTGGTCGGTGAAGAAGAGGCTGCTGCCCCCTCTGGGCGTGATGATGGCCAGGACGGCAACATTGTCGAAGGCGAGAAGAAAAAGAAGAAGAGGAGTCGCAAGAGGAAGGCTGCTGCTGTAGAAGCATGATGTTTTCTCTAGCTAGTCTACTTGTATACCACTGCTTTACCAACTTAATCCTTTTCGAGCGCAAATGTTCTTCTCTACTATTCATTCGTTGCGTGCGACATCTTTCGAGATTGGAACATTCGCAATAGCCCCTGATATCACCATCGCAGCACAACTCGCACCACAAGACTCGTTGAAACTTACCTATCCACTTATTCAGGGTCGAACAAAGGAAAGAAGATACGTAATACGAGAAGATCAGCCTAGATAAGAACGACATGGAATCAAAAAGGAAGGCCCAGCACCAGGGAGCGGGACTCAGGGAGGGAGCGGGCCGCCTGGGGTCTTGGATAAAAATAAAGGCCTGTCCGTTTGGAAACGGAAAAAGGAGATGTGAACGTAGGGTCAGGGCAGGATCATGAAGTACGCGACCTTTTCTTTGTTTTTCCGAGGAGGCTGAGTGAGACAACGAGGACGTGCTTTTTCCCTTACTGCCACCCGGGTCGACTATAGGATTTCGCGTAAAATTACCACAACCGCGATACCGATACGTTACGGGCTAGAGGTAAGCAGCGATTGTCAGGAAGTCATATCAGCTTGGTATTGTTACACGTTGCGATTCAATATTGGAAATGGGATGATTTATTGATGAGCTATTACTTAGCCTGGCAAGCGCATGCTGGTCCTCGAACTACCCAGAGAATCAGCAGTTGCAGCTCCTAACCGTGCCGCATGCGGAAGGTATCATGTATCGTCATAGAAAGCAGTAGGACTGACCGGAGATTCCTTTCCGCATCCCAAGTACTGCACTTAGCCGTGTAGTGGGAGTGGACTCGAGATAATATCGTCCAATTTCGGGGATATTTGTCGTGCGATTGTAACGGTGATATCAGACGGACGAATGTCAATATCGGGTATGGTAGGGTCGCACGGTGATGGCACAGAGCTCGAAGGCCTCTACTGATCGTCCGCATCGTCGGGCTGGTCGAAGAGGAAGTTTGCGGCCAGCTCCTCATTCTTGTCGCATGCAAAATAGGCCTGGATAACGAGATCCCGCTCGAAGCCAAGGCGACACAAGCGCTCAATAGCCTCGCGTTCCTCCTCGGTCACAGAGATGGCCTGGGCACCGGGCGGCAGTGGCGCATCTTCGTCTGCGTCCTCTGCGAGGAGCTGCAGGAACTGCTCGGGGTTGTTTGCGATCATCGACGCCAACTGAGGGTTACCTGCGCCAACCTGCTGTAGAATAGGCTCAAGCATTTGTGGCTGCTGTTGTACAACCTGTCGTAACTGCTGGAACTGCGGATTGTTGCGCAAGAAGTCGAGAGAGTTGGCGTTGAGCGCACCGGCCGCAGCACCGCCTCCAGTACCACCTGAGCGAGCACCGCCAGCACCTCCGCGATTTTGGGCGGCCTGGGCAGCGGCTTCGAACAGGTTCATCGGCTCATCACCTCCGGAAGGTGCGTTCCCGGTGGGTGCGGGCGCATCTGTGTTGCCTTGAAGGGGGGTGGGCGAGGTTGGGGCACGAGCTTGTGCTTGTTGTGCCTGCTCCTGGAGCGCACTCTCGGGAATACCCTAGAAGGACGTTAGAACGTGTCTGAATGGCAGGAGCGTCGCTTGTCCTACCGTCAGAAGATACTCAACCGCGCGGTCGGGGTTGAAGAAGGCAGCGCGCATGGCCCGGTCGATGTCAGCCCTTGCGAAACCCATGCTTTCCATGTTTGCAATGGCGGCCTCGCGCTCTCCACCCATAGTCAGAGCCGAGGGGTCATTGAAGCGTTCGCCGGACGCCTGGGCCGGTGCTGGCGATGGTGTAGCAGGGGCGTTCTGTGTGCTGGATGAAGGCGCTGGTGCGGCCGGAGCTACAGGCGTCTGGGCTGCTGCTGCTGGGGCAGGTGTGGAAGGCGCTGCTCTACTTGTCGATGCAGCGGCCTTTGGCTTAGAGACCATGCAGACGATGAAGCCCTTCTCCTCAATGTTATACGACTCGACCGTGTTGGCATCTTGCAGGATCTTGCCTGTTGTCTTGTGTCAGCGACTGGACTATAGCTGCCATGCCACCTCGCCGGGTGCGGCTGCAAGCTTACCAGAGTAGATGAGCTTCTGCTGGGGAACTTCCCAGCCTTTCTCTGCCTGGATCTTGGACTTGAGGGCGCCAATCTAGTGCGTGTATTAGCATGTGGTTGCGATAAATTTCGACGTGTGGCGGGTCTGCGCACCGTTTCCGAAGGCTCGGCCTCGATGACGAACTTGTTCTGCTTGAGGTCCTGCGGAGTGGTCAGCTGTGGCTCCGTAGCGGCCGGAAGGGCAGCAAAGGACATACCTTGAATGTGATCTTCATCTTGGCGGTTGCTGTGTGCGTGGTCGAAGATGGAGCTGTGTCGGGTGGGGTGTTGATGTTCAAGATGAGGTAGTGGGGATGATGAGGCACTTCCACTCCTTGGCGGGGTTCAGTAGTACCTGAGTAGTGAGGGGAGGTTGCAGCAAGTTATAGAAAGCCGGGACAACTGTCGCGTTTTTATTCTTACAAAGCGTGCTTCGTTTGCTCAGAAGACTGTGGAAACAAAGTCTGTTAGTGTTGAGTTGGGCAGAATCTCTGTCGTCAACCACATCGCCATCTCACGCGCCACACTCTGCCGCCACAGACGTGTGGCGCATCACAGGCTCCAGGCACGCATCGATCCATCGATTGACAGGATGCAGCTCAGTGCTAAAGCGAACGCGAAGACCCCTACGCCTATACCTCGGTATTGACGTACCCACCCACACACCCACCACGGTCACGGGACTTTTGCTTTTTGTAACGAATGCTGGCATCCAGCTCAGGGCTCGCGAATCCATTGCAGGGCCCCCAACGGCCAGAATACGGCCAGTGACGCAACAGTAGATCGCCCAGCCGCAGCTTCATCTCCTCCCCGGCCTAGTGGGCTGACATCCATCGACACACGGCACGCTTCCAGATGCCGCGCACCAACGACTCCAAAAACCTGACAAGGTTGCTGTCATCGTCGTCGCCCAGCCATCTGCAGCACATCTGATCGGCCCTTTGTTTCAATCGCCGCCCATGAGTCGCCAATTATGAGGCGAGGGCAACCGTTTCACCGCCATGGCAAACTCTGACTACGACACGCCGACTGTATGACTGCCGCCTATGGATATGCTGTGATCTCCGCGCTGCAGAAGGGGACTATCGTCGGTCGCACCTCCGTAATGACTCCTCCAGCGCTTACATGGCAGATCGAGCGAGGCTCCGCAGCTCATCAGTCCTGAAATTGTCCGAACGCCATTTCGTAGGGTTGTTTGTTGTGTCTGCCGAACGCATAGCCAAAACAACGCGTAAGGAAATGAAGGGCTAAACTTACCGCAGCTCCACACCTTAAACTTTGACAGGTAGGCCCTTGAACTGTTTCCGGCTCTCGACGCCTGAGCCAGCCAGGCCTGCCATTGGCTGCCTCTGCTCGTGTTTCGAAAAGACAAACCGATTTTCTTCTTTTGCATCAGATTCCAGTGCATCCGGCACCAGTGCCAGCAAACTGATTCATAGGCATGCCATTATACTCTCAGCTCTGCGGCCAAGCTACTGCATTCTGTTGTGCCAATGTCGCATGGCCATGCCTGAGGACTCGGTAACCATGCCTCAAGGTCGTGCAGCGCCATGCTGGATAGATGCTTGCGTGCATCCCAGCGTACTAGTAGGGGTTTCCCCGTTTGTCCTACGCGTGTTGCAGGCCAGTCCACGAAACAATGGGCACACATCAGCCCTCTCGACTTCTTCTAAATTTATTATTACTTCTCGTCCCTCCCCACATGCTCTCCCCTCTTCACGTCGCCGTCCTGTCCCTTTTTCGTCACTGCATCGCTCGTCAACCAGTCGTTGGTCGTCATACTCCAACGCTCGCTTCCCAAAACCCGTCGTAATCCTTAGTCGCCTACCGAAGATCGGCCAGCCATAACGTACATACTATATCCGGCCTAGACCCGCATCAGCCACGCCCCGTAACGGCTTGCTCGACTATAGTAGCTGCATCTATACAGCCGCATTATTTCCTGCAACGCGTTCGTCTCGCGCGTATCCGGTTTCGCGCCTCTCCACAGCAACAACACTGTGGGCTCCATCTTGCATTTCAACCGATAGTTCACCCACTTCTCTGCAGCATCCTCTTTGGTGTCAATCAACCAAAACCAATTATCGACAGTACCCCCTGGAAACCCCTGGTATTATAATACGACTATACTGCTGCTGTCTCATCGATACCTCGAGGTTCTCCGGGCTGACTGTCGCCTTTCCACCAAACAGCACTCAGGCTGGGGTTTGAGCTGGCCAACAACCTCACGCAATCCTTTCATCATGTTACAGTCTCGCAAATTTTACCTTTCTCTCGTCGGCGTCGTTGCATGGTCAAGCACGGCTGCCGACTCAATCTTGTCTATTCTGGAGGCAGCATCGTTTTCTTCGGCTCAATCGTCCCTGGTCAACATTGCTGCTGTGGCAGGCACGGTCGACGTTGTCTCTCTCTGCTGCGTTGGCTTCTACATGTTCCACAATGTAGGGGATGTCCGCGGAGCTCTAGAACGATCAGGCCGGGCAAGAAAGGCTCTTGTAGCCCTCAGCGTCCTTATCTCAGGCGCTGCGCTGGTACTTTCCCTCATCCTGATCATCATGATCAAGTCAAGATGGGCAGAAGTTACTGCTGGCCCCCTCAGTGGACCAGTCTCAGACTGGGACAGCCATGTCTCAGGTCAAATAGCAGCCTGGGCCATCTCCTGCTCCAGTCAGATTATCCTCTATACTTCGTCCCTGTGGAACCGCAAGACACCTAAAGTGCAAACCGTCGTCACATCAGGCCCTCGTGACTCAGTCATGAGTGAGCTGCGAACTTCACGCCCAAACAATGTCCACTTCGCAGAGCCAGTCCAACCTTCGTCCCCTTTGGCCGCTCACCAGCAACCTGAGATTCTAGGAGCCTTGCCCTCGCCTACCTTCTCCACTCGCTCATCACAGTCACTCAAATCTTTCAGAGATTCTCTTCGTCACGTGGTCCGTCCAGTCACATCGCGTACCACTCTCATCAGCCAGAAGTCCTTCACCAAAGACGCCCCAGTCAGCATTTATTCGAATCGGCAGTCAATCGATACCATCTCCCATTCAGATGGTTTCGATAGTTGGGACACAAGCAGCGTGAGTCTTCCAGCACGCGATGTCGTTCTGCAAGCAGCACCATCAAGAGGCACAACTTTGGAGCCGATTCCCGGCAGTCGCCCGAATTCGCCTGCGCGTGCATTGGACGGTCCATTCCTTTCAGAGCTTCCAGAGGAGGAGGATGAAGACTTGGCCCCACCTCCCAGGATGATGCCAGACATTTCGCGTCCTCCTAGTCCGGCATGCAGCGAGGCTCATATCCATCCACTATTCAGGTCAGAAAGTCCGTCTGGTCTGCCACCTCCTGCAGCAACGCCTGGTACCAGCATTATGGCCAGCCCATACTCAAACCAAGCCATAGCATGCCCTCCACGCTCATTTAACCGGATGAGGTCGAGCAGTAACCTCAGCCAAACTGCAGTAGGCCCTCCCTCTCTTCATCAGGCCAGAAGCTTCACTCGCGAACGTGCGGCAAGCATACAGTCCAAGTCTAGGAGTCCATCTCCTCCTAGTCGGGCAATGACACCTCCGATTCCTGATTTCGTGCTCAACTCCTCTCCACGAAGCAGCATGAGCGGCTCCCGTCGAGTCGCCTTGCAATACTCTCCAGATCGATGATTGATCTAACGTTATTTCCTTGATTTTATCCACGTTATGTGCAAGTTGTAATGTCTCTACACGTTTGTACGATACGATTTTCCTAGCTGTTCATACCTTTGGTGTTTCCTTCATGTTACATATTCCCTTCTGTCACTAGCTCTCGCCCTCACGGGGGTTTGATTGAGCGTTGAGCGTTCTCGCATCGCAATTTCATTAGGTCTGGGCTCCAGCATACAGGGCTGTTTGAGCGGACGGAATATTTCATCGCATTTAGCATCTTACTTTTTTGCTGGTCAATTGGTGGCGTATCACAAAGAATGGAAACCCGGATCGGATAAGAACGGAAGAGACAAAATAAGCCGCAAGGCAAGGCGTTATACCCAAAACAACACAAAAATTCTCAATTGAATCAACATGAACTTTAACCCTCCCACTTTCGTACGCGAACTATCGTTTTTTTCCTCTCCGTCTGCAGAATCTTCCAAACCTTCAGACTCTTTAAAACCTACATCACAACAGCTTTCAGCCTCGATTTCAACGATTCCCTATCGCGATGGCGCTACATGACTGACGCCAACGCCAGTTGATGTAATAACATGCATCATGCCAGGGGAAAGCTATTTGCCAGCCCCACATGGTGCGTCTTTAGGAAGCGAACAACAACAACGTGGGAGATCCCCGCTTCACATCGCCGTTAAAAGGGCCCGAATACGTGATTCATTTGCAAACCTACTGGACGACCGTTGATAGCGAGCGTGTGGGGAGATGAATGATGACGAATTCTGGCGCGATTGCCCTGAGTGCCATGTGCACGCCGGGTTTTGCGGATATGATACCAGGCGCACGGGTGTCTTTATTGCCCAAGTAACGAGGATGGTTGATGAGTAATTGCGGGAGCGGAGTGAATGCGTGGTGTCGTATCAATGAGAGCATGTTCGATGTTGGAAATCTTTTTTTGCGGTACACATACGGTTTACTGGGTTGTGGGACTATTGGATGTAAGCAGGCAGGCAAAGACCACAGGGTCTAACTAGGTGACCAAATTCTATCTTGTCCAACAAGTATCCTTACACTCGGTATTTTCTGTTAGACAGCTCTTGGAGTGGCGTGCTTCTTGACTGTATGTCATCATTAGGAAATGGCGGCACCATACTGGCAGTAAGATTATAGCACTTCCACAGGAAAGGATGGAATTGAAAAGCATTGTGCGCACGAAAACGTGATAGCAGTTGTTACCAATGTTAATCGAAGGAAGCGCACAGGTTTTCCTGATGTTCGGATAACGATCAAATAACCTGTGGCATGTTCAATTGCTCTCGCCTGTCCTGTGGCGCTTTCGACGTCACCTGCCGCCTATTCATTCGGCCACTCGATTGCACCGTTGTACATGGTATGCGGTATGAGCAACGTATGCTGCATGGCAGGGTCAATCGTATGAATATTAAGGTATTCTTCGCAAAGAGAACGTAACAACAAGCCAGGTCCAGAACAGTTCGTCGACAGAAGTTGTTCTAGGAACCCTTTGCCTCCTGGAGACCTATTTACGTGTGATGCGCTGCAAGGCGCTCGATGAATGCACGCTGCGCCGCTTCCTTCAGAACAGACTACGTATCGGCTAGAGAACATTGTCACAGAATGCGAGAGCATGAAATTTTTTTCTACATCAAGTACTTGTAATGTTCGTTTTTGCGTTACAACCCTTAGGTGAAGGGGGCAGGGGCGATGGTGACGATTCGGGAGGATCGTCCCGTCTAGCGCTGCGGCTAATGACGTGCGACGTGAAACCTGGATGAAGCAACTTGAAAAGCTTCGAGAAGGTGCGCCGAATGCTTCGAAGAGATTAAGATACTACGGTGGCAAGGACAACAGGACAAATGCGATGACTTGTAGTGCGAGACGCGGTGGCGGCGGGAGCGGTCCATATGAGCGATGCACGTAATCTGGGTGTCTGGGTCATTGCCGTCTTCGGTTGGTGTGCTGCATCAGAAGGCCTTAAGGCGCAGAACCAACAGCGCTGTCAATACAGGCTAGTAGCCGTAGTAATTACTGTAGAGCTTCAACCCAAGCCGCCTAGCAACTGCGTAGATGTTCAGGTCCTATTGTACGATACCTCGCTGCGATTGTTGCAGGTGAAGAGCGCTGTCATTCGTGGACTCAGATCCCAATCCGGCAAGGCGCGAAGCCTGACCAAGGATCTCACAAGAGCTTCATCTTCATGCGCCGTAGGAACGCGATTTCCAACACCCTCGACAGTCTCTGGAGCTTACGCTACAAGTGCGATCTCTTTGGCATCTTATTGCCCTGATATATCTGAGCATCTGTCCCTTCCGACACCTCTGCTCGACTGTGCCACACGGAGCATTCCTTCTGCAGGGTTATTTCTCTCTTGCGAGCACCCACAACTTCGTTTCCGACAGGCAAACCGCGTTGAAAACATATCGACACAACTCTGGATTGCCCCGAAAGCAGTCCATGAATTTGTGACTTGTTGATTTAGACTTTGCGTCACATTATCAAGCAAGTCACTGTACTCACTGAGGCGACTTGTCATAGTAAGTACTTCACACCCGCCACTCAGCTCGCGCAAAACTACAGCACGAATACCACAAGTCTACGATTAAACCAGCACAAAACGCGATGGAGTTATTCGGGCGTTGTCTGTTCCCGATACTACTTCGACTGTGTGCTGACACGTCTTGCTGACAGCTCAATCATCGCTCTACCTACCACGCCAGGGAGTGACAATATCAAATACTGACTGGACATCACATCTTGGGTCTGTAAGTAGGGAGTGCTCTACTCGAAAGCTAGCTCTAGCTTTTGCTGCCCTCCGTCATGTCATGATTCTAGGCTAATGGCTGGCTTGTTAGGTCTCTACCTACGGGTCTCACCCAACAACATGCCGCCGAAACGAAAGTTCAAAGGCACAAAGGCCATTTCCAACACCCCTCTCAAGACGCCGCGTAAGTCCGCAAGCCTATTACGACTGCTTTTGTATGCTCCCTAAAGGGTTATGCTAACCTTGGCATAGCCGCTAGCGCATTGTCTAATAAGCGAAGTAGTCTTCAGGGTTCGAAGACATCTCGCCTTGCTCCTTCAGTACCGTTCCAAATGACAACGCGTCGCGGTGCAAAAGGCACGTCTAACCACACGAGCTCGGCTGGGCCATCTAGCGCAAGCTCTGGCAGTCGTCGCAGTTCTCTGAATGAGATTGCGCAAAACGAGGATGCAACGCCCGACCATGAGGATGCGCGACCAGCCAAGCGCAGCCGAACATCGTCCGATTCTGGTTCGCAGCAGAGATCTAATGGCTCTTACGACAACAACACACCCATGAATGGCACGCAAACTCCAGAGCCACAGAAGCCCTCATCTGATGCGACTTCAACGGCACCAAAAGCGGCTGGCAAGAAGAGACGCGCATCAGACGACTCAACACAGTCCAGCAAAACACGTCCAAACGGAGTTCTAACCCGAAACCAAAGCGATGTCTCCGAACAACAACCGCGCAAAAAGCGCAAAACAAAAGAAACAGCAGCAGACACCTCCGCCGACCAACCTCCTGAATTAACGGATGCTAGCACAGCACCCAATTCACCTGAGCAGGTTCCAGATGTTGACGGCCATCAAAGCCTTCAGAACGTTCTGCCGACCAATGGCGATGCCCCTGCAAAGTCCGGCAGGCGTTTGCCCGGTCGTCGGCGCCAACCGCATCCGGACATCAATGTGGAGACTGATTTGCGTCGACAACTCAATCTCAAGATGAGTTACCGCAGTCTTGCAAAGGTTCAGAAGGTCTTGCTAGAAGAGTTGGCGAATCGCACGACGAAGAATCTTGAGGACGATCCTCGATACCACAAAAAATGTCCCGAGTACGATGCTGTTATGGCCCAGCTGGACCAACGCCGCGACGCTCGCCTGGACCAAGTCAATGCTATGCGCACATATCGCCTCGAAGAATTGGAACGAGTGCGCATTGCTGAGGAGCATATCCAGCGCGAGCAGTATGTCAACAGATTTCGAGAGCTACAAGATGACTTTATGCTTCAAATATTCTACCGCGCCAAGCAACTCGAACGGGAGATGAAGGGCCAGGAGGCCGACGCCACAGACGATGAAGACAACATCCTTCCTCCTACTTTCAGTGACGAACCTCTTCATGCTGATGATTATCGTATCGGCTCGAAGTTTGCCTCACGTAGCAGAGCTTACGTTGAGGCAGACAAGGAGCTCAAGAACGATTCCGTGCGGCGACAGTTCACCGCAGCACGTGTCGCTTTTGTCGAGAACGATGAAGAGGCTGATGATTCTATCGACGACGTTGCTGGTGGCTTTGCAAAGTTTGACGGACCAGATCGCACAGAAGCGATCGCACATTATAACATCACCAGTCTCGCTGATGCCGCCGTTGAAGTTGAAAGGACGCCAACACCACAACCAGAACCACCCAAGGCCGAAATTATTTCGAACGAGCATGCCGCTCTGCTCATGATGCTTGCTGACGTATCAGCACATCAGCCGCGCACCACGGCCGTGCCAAAGCCTCAGTACCACTACCCAGACCCGCGCCAACAGCCGCCACCGCCTCCACGAGCGACAACGCCTATTATAAAACAGGAGCCTGCACGAGAAAAATCCCCCGAGTTCGCACAGCCAGCGGTACCGTTGGGATTACCGTCTCAAGCTGCGCATAGCAGTCCTCCTAAGAGCACCCAAGCTGCAGTAGATCTGACTGAAAGTGGCCCTCTTTCTGAAGCTAGTGCCACGGCTTCAGCGAAAGAAACTGAAGTTCCGGCGAAACCAACGCCAAGGTTATCAACACATAGAATCATGGACATCCTCAACGATGATCAGGAGGTCCCTGTCTCTAGGAACAGGGAGTCTCTGCCCCCAGCTCGAGAGCCGAGTACACCATCAATGCGAGAAGCTTCTACTCATCGTCGGACACCATCCAGGAGCGACGCGCTTAGGGTAGACGCTGTGATGAACAAGGAAGAGCCGCCTATAGATCAGGCATTGATGGATGCGTTGAGTGGCCCGCCTCAAAGCAACCCACCATCTTCCCCACCATCAAATACTCAATCTTGGCAACAACAACCTCCTCCGCCTCCATCACAACAACAGCAACAATCAAGTATCCCACCACAGACACAGGAGCCCGAAGAGTCGTTGCGTCGTCGGGATCCTTTACAAAAGATTAGGGAACTTCTGGACAGGAAGGCACGCGAGCTTGGTCGAGAACCTCCCGATCGTTCCCACTATAGACAGGGGCCGCCTGCCTGGTACAGAGCAACTACTCAATCCTCAAACACACAAGAACGAGCTGAAGTCGCGGCATACGATCCAACGAGGCCATCAACCGGCCTGTACGATGGTTTGTCAGGCATGTTTGCAGCCCGTCGACAATCCAACGAACAACCTCCCCAGCAATGGGAACATGATAGACGGATGAGTGGTCATCAGGTGTCTCAAGAGTCCGCATCATCGCCATACCAAGGTCATGCTTCACAGCCTCGTTATGGGGAACAGAACAAGTCAGGCCGGACTCCACCAACACATCAGAGCCCATATGCTCCACCCGCAGGAGCATTGCCACTTCCGCCAAAGCCTCCTGGGCCATTGCCATCCGCACCGCCCATCAACTACCGCTTCGCACATTATGATCCTGCACCGCCTCGCCAGCCATATCCACCGCAATCACCAAGCTACCCACCAACGTCGCACCCGCCTCAAGGGCCGCCGCCGCCACCGTACCCACAACCATACGGCGGTGCACCGTCATACCAAGGTGGCTACATACCACCACCAGGATCTTTTCAAGCACCTCCCCCTCCATCATCGAGCACAGGCTCATACCAACCACTCAAGATCCACCAGTACGGGGGTCAACCAATACTTCCCGCAAATATGGCGCCTCCGCCACAAAGCGGGCCACCGCCTCTACCTTACATCGGGCAGTCAGGACCACCGCAACAGGGTCCTCCCCCTTCTCAACAACAGGCCTACTCCCCAACGCATCCCCATACTTTACCGATGCACTACGAACAGCGTGAAGGGCAGCCTCAAAACAACGGTGAACGTTCGTCTGATCCACAATCAAGACCTAGGCGGCAGTATAGGAGCTACCACGCCCCTGGAACACAGTTCAGGAGCTATCAGGGACCGGGAGAGCAACGGAGGAGGGGCAATTAAACACATCTCTGATTGCAACGAGAATAGTAATTGTACATTATGAATGATTCTGCTGTCGTTATCCGATCATTTTCTTTGTACAGGGTGGTTGCATAAAGCGGGTTCTTTTGGTTAACTGCATTGTTGCTTTCTTGCGCAGTTCTATAGCATTACTTCATTCTGGATACCCTGGGCGGCCGCGCAGGTTTCGCGTGGAGGGATTTTTTCTTTCGGTAGAATCTTCATTGATATCCATGTTCTGATGATGTCCATAATAAGTCTTGTTGCCGCGGAGATTGCCATGGTAATGTGTGATACCTGCCTGCTGGTTAGTCGCTAATGAAGGGAAGAATATGTTTAAAGATTGCGTAAAGGATTATCAAGTATAGAAGTTGGGTATCACTATTGCTATCGCTGCTCCGCTCTAATATAACCAAAACACAACATTTGCACGAGCACTTCGCACAAACCTCATTCTTCTCATCCCACCCACTCACACCTTCTATGCTCTCCTCTTGACTCTAGGCGTAGGCGTCCAATCCTGTCCTAACCCAGATCCCCCCTTTCTATCCCCACCGAACCCAGCACTGCCTCCACCCCTTGGTGTCGCATTTCCCATTCTCTCAAATAGCCTCTGAGCGGCGGGCGTCAAATCTCCTTTCGCTTTCCTTCCTGGTGTCATGCCGCCAATAGCAGGTCCTCTCTTTGGCGTCGGCGCGCTTAAGAATCTCGGCGTCTCACTTGTGAATATTCCCAAGCCCGAGCCTGTTGGCTTCGTCTGCTTGTCAGTGTTGGATCGTTTAGCACCAATCTGTTCGACCATTTTGTGATGCATCTTCTCGCGCGACGACGAGTCGTTGATTGTGAACGGTGTGGCTTTGTCACTACTGCCTAGACCGTAGCGTTCTAGGAGGTCGGTGGGTGCGTCGTCGTCGTCATCGTCAGAGGGAGAAGGGGGTTGCGCGTCGACGAAAGCGTAGCCGTTCACTCGGGGTGTTTCGCTCCCAGTGTAACCTCCTTCGCTGGGATTGAGACGCGGACGTCCTGCAACAGCATCACGGACGGCTGAGAGGGTGGGACTGGGTGGACGAGGAGGGTCTGCTTCGGGAGCGGGGAGGCGAGTATTGTTGTAGAGGACTTTCTTTGGAGGTGCGAGGGAGGTGTTTTCGGCTTGTTGCGCGCGAGTCGGTGCCCATTGTTCTACGCTGTCAGGGCCGAACATGAGGCTGTTTCGGGCAGTATGTCGGTGTCCTGTGGGCGCTGCCGGTCGATCATCGAGGTTCTGGCTTGGTCGTGTGCTGAGTATCATGTCCTTGCCTCCAGACGCAGTGGCTCTAGCTTCGATGACCTTCTGTTGTGCTACGCGCTGCTTGCTCGCGTACATGTTGCCTTCCCGTAGCCAGATGTTCTTCTCGAATTTTGTCTTATTCTGCTTGTCAATGATTTGGCTGAAACTCTCCTGGTCTTCGCTCGTGTATTTTGCTTGGAATGCGCCTAAGCTCATGTTTAGGTCGACATTATCCAGTTTGCCCAGGCCTTCCTCGTCGTCTTCAATTTCCGGCCCAGCGAGTGTAACAGGTGTGTCTGCGCCCCATACACTTGGAGTCTTGTCACCAGCTCCGCCTGTCTTGTCGAACCTCGTTCTCGCTGCCATCTTTCTTTGTCCGCTCGGCACAGGAGTCATGACCTGTGTGAGCTTCTGGCCGGCTTCTCTGATCCATGACCGATCTTTGCTTTCCACAGCGTTGAGATACTCGCGTTGTGCGTCTGCTTCTGCTAACCCTGGGAAAAAGTCGCGGCGAATGATGTGCGAAACGGCGGAAACATAGGTATCTTCGTCTAGGACTACCGAAGGGCGTTTTATACGTTTGGGGGCGGGCGGTGGCGGCATAAGCGCATTGGATGCGCTGCGCTTCGTGAGCGCTGTCGAGTCTGACATGATGCGGTTGGGGTGGGGTGAGGTTCAAGAGGCGAATGGAGGTTTCTGTCCGAAGATGCGATAGATCCAAGGAACTATGCGAATGGAAATGTCGCTAAATGGTGGGGAGAGAGATTCGGTATGTGTTTGGCACCCACATGGGTTAGTGAAAGAGCGTTGGCGCAAAGTGACTTTCGTGAACGATGATGTCTTAGCGTCGGCAGAAAGTGTCCACCGCTTCCAGCCCTATCAGCCATGCTAATTGTGGGTGCAAGGTACCTGCATACTTACCCATTTCAGTGACACAAGATACTAGCTTAGTCGAATAGTCCTCGAATAATAGCACACGATCAGAATGAGATTACTCCAGGAGATATAACATAGCGCTACTCTTAACATTGTTTTCCACATCATATCTGTTTTGATTGATGTGCACACGTCGCACATACTATCCTCTCATAAGGGAACCCAGCTGCTCATATACCTCGGATACCAACATAATGACATTGGCGAGCCTGTAACGTGCCGCGGCAACAAGATGATCCAATGTCCCGCTGTTCCTGCACGTCGAATGCTTCTTCCGAGCACTTTGTAGTTCGGGACGATATCGTAATCTTTTCAGCATTCCACCACGACTGATGGCAAGTGGAGTAGAAATAAGGAATCCTATCCAAGAACCATAATCTAATAGAAAGATTCAACCATGGCGTCCTTGTGGGTGGTGTTGATGTTGGCGGGGCCGTTGCCCTCACCGAGCCTGAAGACGGACTCGACGACGGAGAGCTCGGTCGCTGTAGTATCGAGACCTGAATTTCCCAATTAGTCCTTGGCCTTGATGTTCTTCAATCAGTATGCACATACCAGTAACAGCCATCCAGTCGTTGACGACCATGCCCGCACCCACGACCGCGCTACCGCGGTTTACACTACCGGCCACAAGCGGCACTTGGAGCAAACTCGACAGCTCATCTTGGTCCTGAATGCTTGTCTTTGGGTGCACAATACCACCCTGATTGCTGAGAGCCATGTAGCTGCCAGTGAGCACGTTGTCCGCGATAGTCTGCCGGAAAACCTCGACGCCTAGTACATCTGCTATTATCTCCTCCGTTTCGCGTTCAATGTCCGGGTGTACGAGAGCAACGTGGTCGTTGCAACATATCACGTTGCCAAGGGCTGATAATCGTTCTTCTATTCTCTGAATCTTGACTTCGTCAGGTATGGAGTTTCGGAGATGCTGGAGTTCTTGGTCGGTGGTTGTGGTAGGAACGAGGAGACCTTTCTTGTTGCTGGGAATGTGTTAGAGTATTTTCTTGTAGCATTGTTTAAATATGGCAAGATGCCACGAGTCGGGATACATACCCAGCAGTCAGTCTGCCGACGATTCTGGTTCCAGCAATGGTGGCGTGGCAGATGGGAATGACATCTTGGAGTTCTGCTTCGAAGACACTGTCGCGCCACTGTCAGTACATATTTTTTCGCAGTGTATGCTCGCCATGGTCGCACAACATGCTACCGCACGACATCGAGCCGGGAACAGCTATTGAGCTATGCGCACCTGTAAAAGTTCTCGCTTGCGCCGACTGCGACAATCGCATACGCATTTGTGAGTGTGGAGAAGACACCGACTTCGTTGGAGTTTTCGAACTGAGCGCGGACAGCCATGATTATTGAATCGACGTTGGGGTCTTTTTGTGAGGCTCTTTGGGGTGGTTAGAAGAAAGAAGGCAGGGGTATTTAGTGCGCGGTGGGTAAGCTGGTCGTGAATCTGCAGAAACTGTGAAGGCGGGACTATTTTGTAAAGAGCGACATCATAAGCCCCGCTACCCAATCGGAGCTAGCGCAGTTCGACTCATCCTGAGTGAACCCTGCATATGAGCAAAGTCCCACTGGAAACTTCGCCACTGCATCTACATGCTCGTGCTGCTATGACTGTGAATCTGAAGAGTCATCACTTGGCGAGTTCGTCGAATGAGATGACATGTTCGTCTTGTCGACGTGCTGCGACTCGGTCCCGTCACCGTGCGTACTTTGGACGTGTTACTGGGATCGCACGTCCATTATCGTGAAGCAAGCCACCGTCCTTGACATCTGCAATACATGGCTGTGCACTCGTCAATTTCGCAACATGCAGCCTCATGGCAACGCGACACAGCGCTTAGCAACGACCGAAAAGCTCGGTGATAAACTTTCGGAGCATTGATCAAAAGCGACACAAGTCCATAAAAGTGTTCGAGGCTTGATCAGAGCATCCGCTATGAGCAAGCGCACGGTGCGACGCTCCACTTGACATATGTCACGACATTGCCGTCCTCTGTGGGCTTACCATACTGGAGCTCACAACTTTCGCAACTTCAACCCTGCGGTGATCAGTCCGGGGCGCAATGTAATGGAGAAGGTAATCGTTATATTGACGTCTCATCGTACAGTTGACGTAGCACGCATGATAATAATTACAAGATCATATAGTTCGTCAAGCTCCAACCGCGACGACATTAACCAGGAGCAGCGCACGGTTGACGCTACGCTTCAGATTCCCAGCCACCTCGACGACATCCTTGTCTTATATCAAACTCCCAAGACGATGTGACAGGTGACAAGTAACAAGTATGGAACACGATGATAGTGATATTGTGAAGTGGCTGACATGGCCAAATATTGCAAAGCAAATGGGTAATACGCTGTCGGCCACACTAGAACAAGCAGCAAAAAGAGAACGCCCGCTAAACTGCAGCATGCCTTACACGATACGCGCGGAGAATCGAAATGCGAGAAATATACAACAGCGGCTGCGCGTGAACAAGACAACGTACTCGAAACGAGATCAATTAGATGTCGAAGAGAAAGCACCTGCCGTGTGACGGAGCCAGAAAAACATTAACACTTGCGTGATGACATGATTATGTTCGTAAAATGGTTCGTAATGCAAGTGCACAGCGTGCAAATGTCGGATGTGGATGGAAAAGTTCGGCGACGACATCGTGGTGGAATCGGTTCGCCCGAGTGTAAAAGTGGGTGTCACTTATGACATTCGCGATGCGAGGATGGCCAACGCAACGATGACGCCGATCAGAAGAGTCCCTACTCCAGACATGACACGATTGAGGTTGCGCCACCAAGTTGCTTTCTGGAAAGACTTGTCATCTGCGGGACCCATGGCTTGGGCGAATTGCTGCTCCAAATCGGCCTGGCTAACAGTGGGGGTGCCCACAGTGTTGGGGTCCAAAGGCAGGGGGAGGAATGAAGCGATTATCCAAGCTGTAGTCCTAATCAGCAAATCTCTCCATATATATATATATATAGACATCCGGCATTATAGGCAGAGTTGGTACTTACCAGGTGGGAAGATAAATCCTAGGCAGAAAAGTAGGATTTGTCTGTTTTGACGCCCAAAAAGTGTGGTGTGAATGTCGTCATCCAGGGATGGTGCGTTCCACGCGCTGTATCGTGTTTGACCTCTCTGGTCAGTTCGGAGGTGTGGTGTTGAGTAGCCGCTAAGAGGGTACATGTTAGGTCCAACAGCATATACGGCTCCATCAATGGAGTGCACGTCGTCAGCTAGAGAAACGGTATCAGCGTGTGAAGCTCGGTTCCGAGGGCGATTCCGTGGCCGGTAAATGCTGAGCGGAAAGTTGCTCTCCGAAGGAGTGTGTGATCGCCCACTGTGAGAAGTTCCAAGCCGTATGCTACCAGAAGACTCGGATTCCGGAGCGGCGACTGATATACGCTCTCCTTTTTGGTAGTAGACCCTCGCCCATGCCGGGATGTTGTTTGCTAGGAACGTGGACATGTGGGACTGCGAGGATCCAGGCCGCGAATCACTCATTGATACTGCATCAGCGCTGTTCGTTCTATGCAGATATCCAGAGTTTTTCATCCGTAGCGGAATCGACGTGGGCAGCGGTGAGATGGTATCCATGTGCTCACTGTTGTCGTCGGACGAACTTCTGGAGGTTGGGGAGAACAGCGGCCGAGGTACTGCGACTGAGGAGAATTCGGTTTGACCTTCCGACGATACATTGTCCGATGACGATTGTGCGCTCCCAATAGTCTGCCCTCTCCGGCGTGGAATCGCTGTTCGACCATTGCCCGCATAGCTCTCTTGTGAATGTGATCTTGCGCCGATTGATCGTGAATTTCGTGCGAGAGATCGCGAATCACGTTCGGACACGGAAGCGATGGTCGATAGCTGGGAGCTCCAGTGGTGGACCAGCGAGGGGTCATGCATCCGGGATGCAATATTAGGCGTGTTTTGGGAATCAGCTTGCGAGCTGCTGGCCGACGGCGCGCGTACGACGGGATAATTAATTCGGATGCCGCTCGCAAAGGATGCTGTGCTTGCTTCATGAAGAGATGGCGATGGCTGTGATGAAGCGAGTGTATGTGTTGGTTCGATGCTGGTGTAGGAAATATCAGAAAACGTGAACGACTCTGTACTTTGCTGAGGATTCAATACAGGTTGTCGATAGTCAGTGTCACTAGTGAGAGCAGGCCCCCTAGCTTGGGATTCGGCTGACGGAGTTTGCGGTAACGGTCGACCGACACTGACACTTGGCGAGTTTCCGACATTACTGTTTGGGTGTGATGAGGCGGGAGGAGCGGGTGAGGCAAAAGATGCAGCAGAGGCCTTGGGGGTTAATGCACGGTCGGAATCACCGCCAGAAGAAGATGGAGGAACAGCCCGGATGGTTGGCCTTTGGGACTGTGAGGATACGACTTCCTCAAGTACCTCCAACCCTTTTGCGTCGTCTTCTAATTCGGGTGGGGGTGAGGATGGGGCAGTGCTCCCCTGGGAAAATCTTAAAGTCGATGGCGTAAAGGAAGATGCTATGAGGGTATCTTCCTCAGACATGCTAGTGGAGCCCGAGTGTCTGAAACCCTTCTTGCGTGACAGGATAGGCTGTGGTGTTCGCGCTCGGCTCGCCTCGAACTTTGCAATGGTACTGGCGACCTGGCTGCCATTTGAAACGCGAGATCCCGGCCGCTCAAAGCCATAACCTGGCACATGACGGGGTGGGGGCAGAACTTGCGAGGGTTCGCTGGGTACGGGATATTTCTGATAGATGTCATGGCCGGGATCTTGAACTATGCGGATGGTGGAACCCGAGTGTTGATTGGTTTGCGAGTTTGAGCGCTCGTGAAGTGGCTTGCGGACAGGAGACGAGTTTATCGACTGCGATTGTGGCGGCGAAAATCTGGGACCTTGTTCGAGTTTGTTTTGCGAGTCTGCGCGGCGGTGTTGTGATGAGGACATGCTGTGGTGGTGTGGTGGGCCGAGGATGCCGATATGTGGGCTGGTAAACGCGTGCTGCGGAGAAGTCGAAACCGATCATTAATGATGGGGAATGGGTAGAAAGGCAGTAAAAAGAGGACGTAAAGACCGTGTGTGAAGGTAGTCAATGAGTGACAAAAGTGCTAAAACATATCAAAAAGAACGGCGGCCCGCAGGCATTAACAGTAAGAAGAATTGATGGAGAGAGGGCGAGGAGTGGTGGTGAATCGAGGAAGACGGGCGTTTGGCAGCAGCTCGGCCTAAAGAGGGTTCGTGGCTCTATGCAGAAGCAGGTTCGCGCTGCAGGTGCGATCCAATTGACAGCTCAGCCCCGGCAAGCGATGGAGCACGACCCGCGAATTATGATGACTTGTACAGAGATGTCCCCAATGCGCACAATATGCCCTTTGTCTAGCCTATGCGGATGGCGACTGAAGGATATGAGCTTCTGGATGCGCGGTCCACGCGACGATGCGATGCGCCCGGGGAACCCTCGTCCAAACGGCTCTCCTAGCAGGTCGCCAGAGGCGCGTCGCGGTTGAACGTTAAAATGAAATTATATTTTAGGACGGGCCAGTGACGACGAGCAGCGATCCGGACTAGCCGTTGAGTGGCAGAGAAGCTGGCCAGTGGGCCTTGCGGTGTGCGTCCTGCAGGGGTAACGCGGGAGGTCGTGCTAAGTCGCCGGGGGTTTTGGCAGAGGGCCTGGGACGTGACAGGAGCCGAGACGAACGGACGATCGGGCGCACGTGACCAGCAGCGTGGGAGGGCGATTTGGGAGCCGGCGGTTTATCGATAGTCGGGGGCTGTCCTGTGCGAAACAACATGCTCGCGACAACGCGGGGGGGCCGAGGTCAGGTATAACAGCTCGCTCATGGTTCTTTTCCTAGTCCAAGTATAGCGTGTTTGACGAGTTGCTGCTTTTTTGCAACACCTTGCCATGCCTCCGCCCCTCAACGGCTGGCGAGACAAGCTCAGCGCGCTCGAGGACTTGTACGAGCGACATGTCAAGGGCGGTAAGTGACGATCCATTGGCCTGCGAGGGCTCCCTTTGACTCCAAACCCTCCTAAACGCCTGCGCGACCCACATTGGACCAACTCTGTTGCGCTTCTTCGTCAAAACATGGCCATGGAGTCTAACGTGTCGTCAGTCCCCAAACCGCCCGTCCTCTCTGCGAGTGCTGCGGCGCTTCTGTCGGTACGTTTGTTTCAAGCTCCCACCCCCACCACCATTGCCCTTCCTCTCACCCAATCGCACCGCATGCGCCAAACATGCTGAAGTACAGCCAACACCTGCGCCTAAATATGGCTAACACATGCGACTGCAGGCTGCCTATGTCTTCATCTACGTAATCCCCTTCTACCTGTCGCCCGCAACGCGACCTTCTCCGACTCTCACGCGCGATGCACCGTCGTCGATACGCGCCCGTGTACGCGCAGTTACCTTCTCCACTACCCTGTGCTCTGTCCTCACCGTAATCGTACTCTACCAACATGATGCGTCCGCCATGGAGATCCTCAGCCTGCTTGGCATATGGCCTGTTTCACCCGTAGATACCATCCGGACCATGCTGTTGGTCGTGATCCTCTTCGCAGGTCCAATCTTCGAGCACGGTATCGTAGACGATGGTTGGAGAGACTGGATCAAGCTAGACGGTGTCAACGAGTCCTTGAGTAGCTGGATCGGATACCGGAACTTTGTAGTCGTACGTTGTTTACTTCGACTTATTTCCTGCTCCGCTAACACTCGCACACCAGGGCCCTGTCAGTGAAGAGCTCGTCTGGCGCTCCTTCATTGTCCCCCTCCATGTCCTCGCCCAATTCTCCGGCAAGCAAATCGTGTTTCTTACACCACTGTACTTCGGCATCGCGCACCTGCACCACCTTTACGAGTTCCGCATAACCCATTCTGAAGTCCCCTTCTTCATCGCCGTGCTTCGTTCACTCTTCCAGTTCACATACACATCGCTCTTCGGGTTCTTCGCCGCCTTCGTCTTCATCAGGACTGGAAATGTGTACACGTGCATGCTAGCGCATACCTTTTGCAACTGGATGGGTCTTCCGCGCTTCTACGGTCGTGTGGGAGTTGAAGCTGGCATCCCCATCGGACCGCCTGATGTCGATAAGAAAGATGATGAGCAAAGGAGTGTTCCAGCTTATCAAGGGAAGGGTTTTGGATGGACAGTAGCCTATTACCTCGTACTCGTAGCTGGCGCTCTGGCCTTCTATCACCAGCTGTTTCCTCTAACCGAGAGCAGCCATGCTCTACCTGTTGACTTGAGTAAGTAGTAAGGACGTCTGCGTGCTTGGTGTCCTTGGAACGCAGAAAAGGCGACATGCAGAGTTACACTGTACAGTCGCGCACGACGTACAGCACAACAATTCAGATATCATAGAGGTGGTTATCGTAACCTTGCAATAGCCCACCAGTTGTCCTTCTCGTAGCCCGATTCCAACACAACTCCGCCAGCCTGCTCAATATCACCTTCAAGCTCCCCTTTCCGATACAGATGATAATATCTTAAGAATGTCTTGTCACCATCTGGCTTCGGCGCCTCTTCCTCGTGAGCTTGACTCTCATCCTTCTTCTTCCGTCCCTTCTCCTTGTCCTTTTTCTGCTTCAAGACCCACGGCACCATGACATCCTGCTCGTGACCCTCGTCCCATCCTCTTCGACTATCTTTTTGCTCAAGTGCCCAAACGTAGATCAGTGCTCTACCACCTTCCACTTTACCATCACCATTCCCATGCGATGATGATGATGGCCGCAGTAGGTCCAAAACACATTTCACGGCCTCCACCCTCCTTGCTGGCGTAGACAAATGATGCACGACCGCTATCGAAATAGCAAAATCAAATACGCCATTTGGATGAGGCAGCGAGAGGTTGTCTGCTACGACCACATCGTGCGGCTCATGTTGTTTGGCAATCTTGACAAGGTTTGTTGATCTACATCTTCGTTAACCCTAGAACAATTATACGTAATGCTCGAAAAGTCATCTAAACTTACCGGTCACTACCCACGATCCACACTTTCTTATTAACAGCCAAGTATTTTCCATTTCCACATCCCACATCGGCACCTATAGCGCCATCATGCTGTTCCTTCAGAAAGCGTTCGACGATAGGCCATGGCTGATATCTTGTTAGTCATACATGCTCTCTTTCCGATTTATGCCACTAGCAGCAAGGGTGGACGCACACCTTGTAGCGAGTGGACGAAAAGTGCGATGCAATTTCTTCGTAGACGGAATGGACGTGTTCAGCTTCATAAGATACGCCTTGGGTTTCTGAAGCCGCCATCGTGTTATTGCATCGATTGATGTGTGTAGATGACCGTGTAGGAAGTTCTAAAGTAAGTAGGTTGATGGGTGACGGGGCCAATGGGGGGTGGAGGGGGTGCCAAGACGCTGCCGAGGAAGGCAGCCTTTGGCGCTGTCTTTGTCGCTCAACACTGCCATCTGCTCATGCTTCGATTCAGACCATTGTCTTGCCAAGCTTACCATATCCGAAACTCACGCGAGTATGAACAGATCATGACGACTTCGATATCGACTCATTTACTTTGAGATGAACCTTCATCCATGTTCCAGGTTTGAACACTATTCCAGGATCATCGGAGAACTTGCATCTCTCGAGAAAGGCAGTAACCTTTGACCCAGTATTGGTCTAAGATGAGCATGCAGGCCTCAAGATTGGTTCAACATTCGAGAGATAACTGTATAGTCTCGTATCATGGAAGCGACTAGAGAAAAACGCACATTAGTTTTATCCTTGAGGTCTCGTTGGAGGTACTCGGCGCACGCTTGAAGCGATGAACGCCTACTCTCGCGAAGAGTCGAAGAGAGAGTGTGTATGAACGATATGCTCATACCTACAGATACCTACTCAGGCTCGCCCAACGAGAAGTATCTAAACGAGTATGCGTTCGCGTCGGATGGCATCTACTAATCGAAATTAGTGTCATGATTTTATAGGCCACACACTCTGCTGAACTTATCGATTTACTTCATGCAAGCTTATAAGTCCAGAGTTTGATAATCGACCCGTCCCTCAGGCACAGAGTAGTTTTTCTCCGAACGGTCCTCTAGCTCATCAAACCTCAGCTTAAAATCATTTCCCAAAAGATTGGATGAAGCAGAAATTGATTCAACACCATAAGAGCCTAGACCACGATATTGGCGACCAGAACATAGAGGAGAATGTTGCGTCGTTGTAATCAACAGAGTTCGTCACATCTAGCGAATCCGGTGGCATGCAAAAGCTTTTGAACAACTCACAAAGAAACCTTTGAAAGCTCTTCGACATATCAAGACACCTCTTGAACTTTCAAGTTTCACATTCGAGCACTTTTGTAGGGAGCTGACTTGAAGAGCTAAGAAAAATCCTTGTCGCTTGTCGACGCCATGGCACTTCCGTATTCGAACATGCGTGTTTAACCGGCAGCACGTCACTGGTCAACGACGACGCAAGTTTAGATGGGACTTCATCAACACATATTGCGCCGCGTACTGAACTGCAAATTCTCAATAGAAGAGGCCTTCTGCCGCGTGGCACTCGCGGCGCCTACAAGATTGATCATCTGCAAAAGATCCAAAGCTCTTGGCCGCCTGCATCTTACACAGTTTTACTTTCAGATTGTTTTGAAGCTTATCAAACGCCCATACCGCTCAAGATGCATATATCAACCCTCCTTGCGACCATCTTGTTTGTCACCGCCGCTGTCGCAACGCCCTACCCTTGGGCTACACCACAAGCCAGTCTTGCTCCAACTCCAAGTGGTGTGCGAAAACACAACCGCACGCATAGGAACAGACACAAAGAACCAACACCTACCTTCAAAGAAGGTTGTGAATGTGCAATGCCGGTTGTGCCAATGAACCTGCTCAGCGCGAATGAGAGGTGCTTGATGAAACAAGCTGCTGCTATGGGTTGCTATCTAAGCTCCAAGGGTGGATGTCCATCGCCGGCGCCTGCTGTAAGTACAGATGTGGAAAATGAGTAGAGAGTGCTGACGCGTTGTAGTGCGGACTCGGACCCCTACCAGGCATACCTATGTAATGAAGCCAGAGTCGTGATGCGCTCGATCTTCAGAAGATCGGACATGGACGTCAATCTCGCATGGCATTGGACACAGGTATCTAGAACACCGTGGCGTGAAGAGTTGCCATAGTTACCCTCCTACCGAATTCAGCCGTTGCGTATGAAATCTCAGCGTCTTATGCAGAAAGTTTTGTTCTCCAATTCATATTTTCACGTAGCCTTCAGTTTTCTACAAGATGGCGATCGGCAAGTAACCTTGGTGGCGATAACATTCATGGGGCATCCTCACAGCTAAAACGCCTGACCTAGCCCAACATGTTCTCCGAGACTTTTGCAGTTGCAACCCGCGTTCCTCTCACCTCCGTTGAGAGATTTGAATCATCCCGCTGGCCGTCTACCCAAGCCTCTTCCTCTTTCCTTGGCTCTCACATACACCTCCACTAAGTGCCCTCTTGTTAACACCAGCGTCCCGAACTACCCTCAACCTATCCTTCTTCAACGATGCAGCATGCCTGCCTGCGAACTCTCTGTCCGGACATCCATCGTCACCAGATTCGATAAGCGGTTCAATATCTGCTGCTCGGAGCAGCGTAGATACTTCGCTTAGCAGAGCTCGGTACTGACCTTTCTCTCTGCACCAGAGTATGAGTGCTGTCAGTGGTCCGGCGTCCGGGCCAGTAGGCAACGACTGTAAGCCGTGGGCGAGGGCGAGAAGTGGGTAATCGATCTTCTCCCAAACATCGTAGACCCATCCTTCAGCCGTATGGTTCGTGGTCATGTCGATGACTGAGGATTTGAGAGCAGGTGAAGGTGTAGGTGTGTCTTTGCCGACTTCGTCGATGTCCATTTCTTCAACCTCCTCGAGCTTGACGCAGTCCCTCTTCCTTGCGGCCATAGCAGCACATGAGATACTACCTGACTTCATCACCTCATCGCCTTGAAGCCCTCGCGTCATGATAAGGAATTCCCGTATCATACTCCCCGTAACGCCAGCCTTTGCCATGCGCTCCGCTGCGTGACCCCAATAGTAATGCTGCGGAAATTAAGACAGTAACTCCATGATTGTGAACTCCGTATCCTCAAGAAGAGCGATATTTACAGTGCAAGGTGTTGCAACACTTTTGAATGGGCAGAACTGGTTCTTGTCTTTCGTAGAGTCTTGGTTCTGAAGTAGCGGATTGAGTTCGATGTTTGGTGTAGTAGGGTCTGACAGCATAGAAAGCATCATGAGCTCGGGGATAGGCGACTTTAGCTTGCGCGTTGAACGAAATGCTCCGCTTCCGTGCCATTTCTTCTCTGGCGTGGGGATGAAGTCAGCGGTATGGTTGGTCTCTTTTTCTGATAGCCAACGCCAGGCGTCACTGACGTCGAAAACTTTGTTCGGACAGTCCTGCGCTTCGCGCTATGGGTAAGTGATCATGGGTATGAAGGTGTTCGAATCAGTGGGGCTGTTGATTTCACCGCTAATACAGTGCTGGTCCATGGTGCGACGAGGGGCGTGGAAATCCACTTGCCCTTCCCACAGTATTGTCCAATCCACACCATCGAAATTGTACACCTCAGCGTCGCTTCCGTCACTCAGCTTGAGCATCTCGGGCAATAAGCCGAACTCAGGGTGCAGCTCGCCACCTGGTACGTACTTTTGTAATCCTTGCTGCTGAAGTTCCTCACAGGTAAGCGGTATTGCTCCAACAGGAGTCAGCTTAAATGCTTGACGGTACGGATCAAAAGCTATTGGAAGAAGTCCGGACCAAGAGACATGCTTCCATCCCATGGGAAGTACGAGTTTGGGGACAAGTGTGAAGTCGGGGAGGCCACCGACGACAGGAACGAACGCTTGGTGGAAGAGGAGACGCGGGTCCATTGTCGGGTATGGATATGAGGGATGTGTGCTTCCTCCTGGAGGATACTGTAGTTGCCAAGAGAGAGAATGGACGGTCGGTAGCCCCTCGAAGGGAACCGGATCACTCTCGATAGGTACAATACTGAAATCAGCATGCTTGTCACGATCGGGTGTCGCTGGTGAAGATGGTGATTTCCGAGCAGTCTTTGGGTCTGTAGCCGGTAGCTGGACAGTGTCTTGATCAAAAATAGCTGATTAGCTGGACCGCTGACAATGCTAGCATTTGAAGGACTTACAGATTGGTTTCGCCTGCGTACGCAGTCTAGTACTCCGGCGAGCTTTTGTTGGATTAATCGAGCGTTCGAGCTCACGAGCGAGTATTGCATCATTTTGAGCAGCATCCTCAACTGCTGGCGAACGTGCAGTGTTGACATCTTCGGCTTCCTTCTTACCCGTATCGGAGCAATGCTGAATCAGTAGGGAGGGCTGATCGACAGCGTCCTTAGTTTGTTCTCGAGTGGTTTGCCAAACCAGCTCTTCTTCCGCGCAGCCAGCCGACGGTGTAGAGTGCATATCACTGCGGAAGGTAGGGGTGTTTGGAGAGGGCAAACCATGCCAGAGCACTGGATTGCGCTCCTTCATGGGTGTATGTGGCTCTTCCATCAATGCTGACTCTTGAGAAGGTTTGCTGCTGGGGGTAGTGGCTTCACCATCCAGGATCTGGTCAATGCAGTCATCTCTAGCGGGTGAGTTAACGTTGCCTGCCCATGAATAAGTACCCATTTCGCCAATCATATGTTTGCTCAGCCCACTCACTTGAGCTTATGTACGGCTCTCTGGTAGGAGAGGGCGTGCGGTAGGATTTTCCCATAGTGTTGGCTGTCATTGCTGGTAAGGTGGAAGAGCGAGAATCAAGAACAGCATACTGCAAGTCAGGCGACTAAATTTTGAAATTCTTCATTTAGCATCAAAATGAGTAACAGGAGTGATGATGAGAACAGTGATGCTAAAATTTGTGGAGAAGAAGATGAGGATGGAAAGAGATAGCAATTTCACCTTCACCACTGGACGTAACAAGTTTGAGCAATAGCTACTCATTTCTACCAGGTCGTACCCAAAGCACCAATCGCTGGGCCATTTCCATCGAAAAACTCCTCGTCCAAAAGTTGAAGGATCACTTGTTGACCAACCCACTGCTCCTCCGCCGCAGGTCGGATCCTCTCCGGGGGCAGAACGAAACCAAAGTCTCCGGTGTCGGGTAATTCGATGGTCATGGAAAACTTAGCGCGACCAATAGTGTAGACATGGTCGATCGATGCACCAGTCGTCGGGTACAAAGTCGCTCCGCTAGGACCGAAGACGTACGTAGTTGCATTGGTCGAGTAGTAGCGGATGGTATCGCTCATCAAAGCAGCAGCTTTAGTCCACATACCGAGTTCTGGTGCGTACAGGGTTTCTTTGTGACCGAACGGGTACAGTATAAGTTGAGAGTAGCTATGCCAGTCGATGTAAAGCTTGATGCCTTGCTCATCGCGTATCTTGCGAATCAGGTTGTCCATGCCCTGATTCTCAGGCGTATCGCGGGGCGCTTCTCCCCTGTAGGTTTGCGAGCATGGGTCTGGCGAAGCTCCGCGTGGGTCAGCATCCCAGTTCCTGAGACTATGGTTCAGTACATATCGCAACGGCTCAAAGACAACCATCACTCACGTCTCCCAGTTTCGGTTCACATCACGACCAAAGCACGTCTGGTTGGCAGCGTTTTCTGGTGGTGGCTGACGGTTCTTGCGCCACAAGCGGTTGTCAGTTTGGGAGAAGACGAATCCTACGACTGATAAGCGAAAACCATCAAGCCTGATCGGAGTATTATGGCTTACCATCAGGATTGACGAATGGAAACATATAGAAGTCGTAGTTGTCCAAGACGGCTTGCGTGTCGTTGTCACCTGCCTTGTATCCGTCGACTAGCTGCTTCGCGATATATTCGATGACCGGTGCAGTGATCCACTCACGGGCATGTACAGTACCGCTAACCGTGGGTGTACAAAGTCAGTATATGTTTCATATGCAATTCGTGCAGGGACATTTTACTGGTAGATGACTGCAGGCTTTCCGGGACCACCAGCTCCCCAGAGATGAACGCCGAACATGTCGCGTCCTTCATAAGATGTTCCAGTGCTCGTCCAGTTTGAGTGCTCTGGAAACGACTCCTGCAAATCGCGCCACCAGCTAATGTGCTATGTAGAGTTGATTAGTTTTGGCTCAAATCTGGGCAATAGATCACTCACGTCTTCATATGGATGGTAGCTATCAAACCACGCATCTTCGGACCCATTCGATTGCCTCTTCCAGGCCTTCTTGACATAAGACTCTCGGGCAATAGAATCGGCTAGGTTCTCGTGCAGAGTTCGAGTTTTGAGCCCCAGTGCATTGAAGGCGTCCAATTGCTCGGGTGCAATGAGAACATCCCAAGTTCCACGAACTTCATTCAAGGTCTCGTGAGGAATGGAGGCAAGCGCCCGCTTTGTTGACGCATACTGAGACCCAGTATACCGGAGGCGGTGGACCTGGTAGCCATCATATGAGACGGGTTGGGGGCTACGGATTGTGGCACACGTAGCGAGTGATAGCCAAGCAAGATTGAGTACGAACTTCATGATAATGATCCACTGAGGAAGTGGTCAACTGAAAAGCGTGAGATACTTGAGCTGCATAGAGTGCGGGTTCTTTATACTTTTTGCATGTCCAACAACTTGGCGTACCGCCCGTCTGTTGGTACCATGATAAGCACAAAGCATGTCTTCCCAAGCCATGACCATGAGTATTGGCTGCTCAACGTGCGCACTGTGACATGGGTAATGTTGCCCAAGAGCCCGCTTAATCGTGGATAAGATACAACTGGGGTATTTCCCCAAGTCGTGGTAGTCTTGACCTGCCGGTTCGGCATTAGGTCTTCCATGGCATTTCTGGGCGAGGGGTAGTAACGTCATATATTGTCTTACATACTGTTTTCCATGAAGATGTACGATATTTCGGCTGATGTACGACCGAGCACAGTCTGTTGTGTTGTAGCAATTGCATATATAGATTGCGGCGTAGTGAGTTGAGCCGCGTGGCTGAGTTCTAAGGGTGCCCTTCGCAAAGCACACCTGCAGTAGCACCACGATGGACATCGGACGGGAGTAATCAGTACAAATATAGCCAGTACAAACCCATACCGAACACAGTAGAACAGGTCTGACGTACCGATAGGACTGACAAGAAGATGAGGGGAAGGTTGCATATGGGGCATGGAACCATCTCCGATGAGTAGAATGCTAGTCTGTATCTGGACTAGTCTGTTTTCCCCGTGCCAACGCAACCGTGACACCCGGCCCCAAGGATCGAGGTGTACGTTCCAGTTTGCTGGATGCCTGAATTTTGTAGGGCAAGGATATCCTGGCCATTACAGCACGGGCCAAACTAAAGCGACTATCGAACGACGTTGGATACTATGTTCGATGAATGTATGCCTATCAATCCACTCATTCAGTCATATGGCCCGCGATCAGGATGGAAGGACATGCATGGAACTCATACAGCATTTCAGGTGCAATCTCAAATACTTCAAAGAGCCCTCACACTTAGGTATATTGTAGCGAAACTCCGCGGTAAAAGCACTACACCAGAAGTACAGTATAGGAGCGCGACCTTGCATTCTACTTGCTTGAGATAAGTTTCAGCTTATCCCATTTCAAGTGCTCCACAACACGGAGAAGTAATCAAGGTCTATACATACAAGATGGCTTCACCAACTCTCAAACCTCAGACCTGACTTAAGTCCACCTCGGGATCTCAAATGGTCTTGAGTGTCCACAGCACGATCAGACAAAGGGACGAACAATGTACAAGCGGGCATCTTTGTTTCCTTGTCGTCTAAATCTCTCTTACACTGTTTCTCTCCGATCGCGATCTTTTCACTACATATACAATGACTTTCACATTCGGGTCGAAAACAAGCAACAATGCTAGCCAGTATTCGCTACTCGGTGAATGACTTGAGAAGTCTTTCTCTAGCCTGATATATCACGGTACATCCGAAGATTTACTGCGAGCAAGAGAGCTACCCCTCTAGCCTCTACATGATTTGTACGCATTCACTCCAATTTGTGTCCGTACTGGATTCGATCGGAGGGTCCGTATATCATTTCTAACTATCAAATACTGCTAGTAAGGTGACTACTGACTCAACCATCAAGAATTAACCCCGTTGACTCTATGTCCAGGAAGGTGGTCATTCAACTCCGCTGTTCAGACAACACTGATCATCAATAATGTCTTCACCTACCTTCACAAGGCATGAGATTCAGGACATGTTCGACATAGCACAACTGAACGCTGGAATTCTCTTCGCAAACATCACTTTCTTACGCGACGAACTCCAAGTACTATTCCGGGAAAACCTCATGGACTGCAACTTGCAGGAGGTTGTTCCGATGAGGTTGCTATTTCAAGCCTTGAAAATCGAGCGCTTCATCCTGGATGCTTATAATAAGCATCGTCTCAACAAAGCAGTCACTAGCTTCAATAAGTATGCTGAGAAAACAGAAGATGCTATAGAGTACAAGGAAGAGGACAACATTCCAGAGGAGCTCGAATGGTTTCCACTACGCGCTGAGGTTGCAAGACACGGTATAAACTATACAGCACCACCTATTTACCAATCCAAGGCCACCGAACAAGGGTCTGCCACCCATATAGAGGTCGTTTCCAGTAAGACTGCAAAGAGCAGGCCGTCTTCTAAGGGAAAAAAGTCTACCGGTTTTGGTTCTGCAAGCTACGACAAGTTGAGGGATGCGCCCTCGGCCTGGTTGGATCTTCCCCGTGGTAACCTCACTTTGGTAGAGATAACTGCCTTTGTTCCGCACGCTATCAAATCCTACGATATGATGGACCGCTTTCTTTACAACGGCGCTACTTCCGGAACGTTCGCGACCCTCATCAATCGATACCGGCACATGCCATATGGGCCAATAGGGAACAACAGCATCTACCGCATGATGAAGGGGCCAATGGACCATCGTGCAAAGGCTGATCCGACTTACGAGAAATGGACAGTTGCCAAGCACGCAGATATAAAGAAGCCTAATGCTTTTGATCCATTTAGTGTTAGCGTAGCAGGCTTTCGCACTCCTATCAATTTCAACTCTCGTCAATCTGCTGCTGCTACAACGCAACCTCTGCCTAGCATCTCGTTTCTCGACATGGCAAACGGTGTCAAGACCATGCCATCAGGGTACGATGCACTAGACCTTACTCGATGTGTGGCATATTGTGTGAAGCACAACGACGAAAGCTGGAGATATCCACAAGACTTCGAGAAACTCGTTGCTCTTCTCGGAGGTGCTGCTGCTGTACATCGCGAGCATCGAGACGAGGCCGCCATCTTGAGACACCTGTCTGAACAGAAGCGGATAAACGTCAAACGAGCCGGCGTACGACAGCGTGAAGATCCCGGGCACTTCAACAGACAAAAAAAGGGCTTTGTAGTGGATTCCGACGAAGAAGAGGCTTTGAGTGAGGAGTTTGAAGAAGATTCTGGAGGGGATCTAGAAGATTTGGATTCGGATCTGGATATCGAGGACGATGATGAGCCAGTAATTACGACTAAGAAGGGCGGCGAGCGCAAGTGTGCCTTCAAAGATGACATGTCGGATGGAGATGATTTCGTGCAGCAGACTGGCGGGTCATCGAAGCGCAAACGTACTACTGAAAATGACGAAGATCACGGACAAATCCCGAGCAGGCGAATATTCAGACGCAGCAGGAAGCCTCCACTTAGAGCGCATGCTCATCGTCCAAAGAAGTCGTCCTCATCTCACTTTCGCAAGGAGATCCTGCCCGAAGGCCTGGACTCTGGGTCTGATGGAGACACCTATGCTGAACCTAAGAGGTGGAACAAGAAAGCCGCTGTTGCAACTCGCACCTCTGCTCGCAACCGACCACTCAGTGGCTCGTATATCGCTGAAGAGGTCCCAGAAGCTAGTGATGAAGAGAAAGGCCCCGAAGATGAGATTGATGGCGCAGAAAACACTCGAACTCAGAAGAGGCAGTTCTTGACTGCAGCGCAGATGCGCCAACTTGGCCACAAACAGAACGTGGACATACGTGATGCCGTCGACGAGGACGAGGACGAAGACAATATTGCAATGACAGAATAAGGCGCCTCTGGGGACGAAGACTTTTTCGATTTGCGAACCGAGCGCAACCACTGTCAGCGACCATAACGCTGAATGGCATATCCCGCACTGTTCGCGGCAATAGCTTATACGCGCATCTGGTACCCTCGCATTCTTGTGATGGCTTCTGATTCTTCTCTGTCGTGCTTGGGAATGTGTCTGCTAGTGATGGATGTAGGCGAATCGTAGCGTAGCAACTTACTTAATCAAGTCTTGTAGATTTATCATGATCTGTTGACATGTTCTCATTTCTTGTCTGTCCCGCTTCCTCCATTGACTCTGCAAACGTAGTAGATGTACAGTTGTTCGCTGGGTAAGTGTGGTCGCGCATGCTGCTCGTTGCTTTCGCGATAACCTGTTCAATGCTTGTCTCTGTGCTGCCAAAGTCAGTCGAACTGTTTTCACATGCTCCAGCAGTGGCCTTCCTATAGTGCTTGTTACTATATCTAATCGATACACATACATCAGGGGTCTTAGGCTACGAGTTGTCGCCATCGCAGCTTGCGATCTGGTTATAACGATCAGCAGGATCGAGACGGGTGTGAATTCTAGCGTGTGCCCTGTGCTGGATTTGGGCAGATGTGGGAGGCTAGGTCTCAACAGCCAACGCGTTAGCATTCCTAGTGCTCCAGCCACCACATCAACGCGTCTGGACGCGTCGAGTCGATCTCTTCTAGAACTTCGGCTTGTCTCGTTTGTAAGTGATGTGATGGGCGACTCTAGCGCTTTTCTCATGTCTCGATAGTTATCGTACAACAAACTGCGAAAGATTCATAAAATGCTGATGTCGTATTGTGTTGGGTCGTCCATTCCCTTCACGTATCAGTAATGTCAAACACACTTTGTCCACTCGGTGCGTCCACCTCCACACGCCGTTGTCTTCTTCTTCACCTTTCATTCTCACATCCTACCCTTACTCTCGCGCTCATGTGCTCATGAGTTTTGGCGGTTGCAGGCACGAGGCTGTCGATGCTGCCCGGGTGCGCGCCCCACGGTAGCGCACACCCGATTGGCCACAGGGCAAGTCATTACCCACGGCCGCTACTGTGACATACGAACCATGGGAGCTCTCGGTCAACACGCACCTGCCGACGAGGGTCATGCAAACCCTTTGTGCATAAACAAAAGCACGGCTGGAAAGGACAATGGCGCACCATGGATCAGCAGTCTCGTTTGTTTCTCCCGCCTATCACCGCCTAAACTCATATCACCATGGTGAAAACGGAGACATTGAGAGAAGTACAGTACGGCACAGCGTGCAATAGTATCGTAGCTACAAGCCACTCTCCGTAGGCTTGAGAGCCACAAAGCGACCCTTTCGAACCAAGGTCGACCAGAAGGCAGAGGACCGCACTCCGCGTGAATGACATATTGTCCTAATCCAACCTTGCGCAGAAAAAAACACATCGCTACACAGTCCTCCCACCCACGATGGTTGAATCATCAGCATACTCGCAGAGCCAAAGACACCCGCACTTGACACGAAATTTCCGTGTGGATGAACCCGTACGCACACATACAGTATTCAGCTACAATCAACGCACTCGAAGTCAAGGCTGCTACCATGGATACCAAATCAACAAAGGGAAGACGCAAGACACTCTGAAGGGCTCCCATTGTGAACAGTCTATGACGGGTGCCCGAATCGAAGCGTACGAAGACGCCGTCACCACGAAAGCCTGGCACGATGAGTGGGAGGTAGAGCCAGATGATTTTGGAACACCTGAACCACTGCTCGTCCTCAACCGACGTGCAAATATCGACTTGAAGAATCACGCACGGCAGACGAAGTCGACATATCTATGTCACTGGGATCAAGGCCATGAGCCGCGTGGTGTACTTGCTCAGCGCTTGGCAGAAGCAAACCAATCTATGGAAAAGGAACAAGCTGGCGTATGCATTGGCAATGAGCAAGATTTGCAACACATGAGAGTGAAGCGCGCTGTGCGGAATGCGGACGTCATCGACTTGACAGGGGACGATACCGTGGAAGAAAGCAAATCCAGGGATTGTGTCGGTATCGAGAATGTAGAGAACTACCCCCCAGGAACTATGGCGCAACCATGGGAAATCTAGAACTGGATACTAGGTCAAGCAAAAACAGCCTACTCAAATGTGCTCAGCCTTCGAGTACGTGACAAAGTCAGACAATTTTCGGTTAGATCAGTCAATATCTTAAGAGCTGCTAGCTTCACTTCTAAAATCCTTCCAACTCTTTGCTGCGACCTCTCTCTACGCAAGAATGAATTTACTGTCGAATCTTGTGATAAACAAACTGTCGTGGTGAAAGAACTGAACTTCACTATGTTGATCTTTTTGATTGCTTATCCACCAACTTCTGGGTATCATTTTATCGTTCACTCCATTTGTCCTGAGATCCGTGTGCATAGAAAGGTCCTCTTCTCTCCTGGTACAATCATGACAGCTCATATCGTACCGCAATAACTACAGCTTCAACCAGACCTTATCAGTTTCCTCCCAGCTAAACTCAACAGAAGCTAAGAGCCTCGTAGTTACTGATTCAGTCAGTAGAACATTGAGATCGTCCGTAAACGAGCGGTGCCTAGGTATGCAGCCAGACTTTGGAAACCAGCCTATACCAGATGCTACGCACCATCTCCCAATTTCGAGGCCTCACAAACATCACAGGTCAAAAGGCGACGGTCTAGCGATGCCAAGATCCTCACTGAGAGGGAAACCGCGGGCGCAATTTCTCTTGGACATCCCGGCCTACGAGTACAAACTGCCTAAGGAGATGCCAATCAATGCGACAATCGTGGATCTCATCGCGGTCGTACCGCAATGGTTCCGCAACCCTGGCATCACATGGCGCTTCATGAATAATGGTATCAATGCGGCTGTTCATTTTGCAATTCTAGAGCGGCATAGACATCTTGGCTTGACTGACGTTGAGGAAGCTGAACGCGCCCGCGACCATATCTCAGACACATACCGGAAGACGATGCGCAAAATGGAAAACTTTTCTGGGTGGACAAAAGCAGGACACAATATTCCGGATAATTGGAACAAATTGAATATCTCCGTTAGCGGTTATCTTCCGGAATCTGCCAAAAGGATTGGTTATGTCACACCGGCATCTATTCCTTTCATTGTCCTCGCAGTTGGTCTGAAGAAGCTCCCTCAGGGCTATGATGCTGGCGACTTGAGTCGCGCACTGCAGTTTGCAATGCAAAATCAGAAGCTTGGTGAACATGGTCGACCGACGGAGTTTATGTTCCCAGACGATATCCAGCCCATTCTTGATCATATTGGCCATACTCCAAATACAGAAAACCACGTTGATGATACTGTTGTGAGGCATTACTACCAGGTCCTGAGAGATGCGGATGGGACGCGTCGTAAGCAGTTCTTAGAACAGCGCCGTCAGCAACAAGCTGCTGACGAAGCCGTCGTCAATCGCGCACATCAGTCCCAAATGCATCATGCGCCGTTATGTCAAGAGAGCCCGGGAGGACATGGCATACACCGATCACCGCTGGAAGCTACATCACGAGCATCATCTGTTCAACTACACATGCAGCCCGCAGCCAGCGTTTCAGCTTTGAGCTCTGGTCACGAAAACATACCTCCAGCAGGAATGGGTGCCTTAATGCCTGCTGCTTTCCATGATTCACCAATGACACAAGATTTGTTCCCGAATGTAGCTCAAAGCTTTATGTATGACCAAACACAAGATCAGGACCGTGGTAGAACTGCTATGAGAGGTGCCAATCAAATCAGCCCTTGCATACCGCATACAACCCGGTCGAACTCGCAAGAAGCCGCTGCAGATATAGCATCAGAACTCCTAGCTCAAGGTGCTCGGAAGGCTTATGTATACTTTCCCGACATCCCAGACATCTGCAAGTTTGGGACAGACGATCAAAAAGGTTCTTTCGTTGTGGAAAACTGGTCACATCTAGATCCTCAACGCGCCACAGAGGCCGTGGATGCACTAATGGCCGTACATCAAACTTACGATCTGAACGCTTCTCCTATTCCCATACAATATCTACCGCAGGCTCCGTACCGTTACCATCCTTCCGCAATCTTGCGAAACGGCCCAGGAGAATTGGATCTAGATGATCATAGCAATCTTACTCATGCATTACCATGTGCGCGGCAATGGTAGTATTCATGCAATGACTTGGATCTTGTGAATATTCATCTAGCTCTCACTGCGATGAACATGTCGGAGGCGATATCTAAGCTAGATGGGTATTGACCAGCTTATCAGGTAGTCTTCGTATCAAGAATGGAAACGCTTTGCAAGATGCACCGTAGAACGTGTGTTCAAGATTTTCTTAGAAGGGTCGACGTTACGTATGGCTAGATGCAGGTTTGTGCAAACTGGAGAATGCGCCGACATAATTGCATGGCTGAACAGCTATCAATCATGAGCCCGGGTCTTAGGATCATCGTCATTCTAAGGTGGTTTGTTTCATTCGACAATAGTCAATTTACTTCTCTCCCTTCTTCCGCGTACTTCCCACTTCTTCTACCATCTGCTTCGTTCGCTTCACCCATATCTCAATCTCCTCCTCTGCAGTATGAAGCCATCTCCTTGATACATCCTCACTACTGAGGCGATTTGACTGTTGTCCGCGCAAGGCTTCTTCTACAGCATACGATGCGTATTTGATCGATCTCTGGTGTGCTGCGAAATACTTAATGAGCCGAATTTGGTGCGCGGCTCTGCGTATGCCTGTATCAAGATCTTGGGAAACGTTTATGGGGCTGGCAGCTACCGCGTGTTCTGTTTGACTTGATACGGCTTGTGTGACCATGATCTCTAGCACTTCGCTAGATATACCCTCGAGGAGATAGAGAAGCAAGTCGGATGCCGATCACCAAGAGCTTTTAACGCCGTGCCACTCTTGAACGCCTAATACAGCGTTGCTTGTATCTCTGTTCGTCACAACTAGTTGTTCGTGTCATGAATATACAGATATAACGATCAATCATGAGCCAGTACTTGACGCGCAAACTTTACATGCCAGCGTCTTCACGTCGTGCCGTATCTCCAAATCCGTTTGGTTCTGCGTCACTCATGGCCAGCATATTATTCTGCATAGCAGTGTCCTATCTCGTATGGCTATCGCTTCAACACACGAGCGGTATGCTCCTTCCAGCACGCCCAACAGACGACACACCCTGACCAACGGCTTCGAAAGTGCTAACTTGGCTTTTTCGCCAAGAGATTCAAGCTACGCATATGTCGTAGCTGTGCACTCGATTGGCGGACCTCGATCTCGGACGTTATCAGCAAAGGAGTGTCCTATTGTAAAGCTTCGTTAGAATGTGTCATGTCTGGTGAAGGTCAGACGCAGGCGAGAACGAGATGCCTGCCCAGTCGGTGTAATTGTCGTCCGAGTTAATACCAATGTAACGAATGCATACGTCATGATCTAGAGACTCTTGGCGGTACAGTCTTATTAGGCCTCCTGCCAATACTTCAACGCATGGCACGTAGCAAGAACTTGCATCGGCTTCTGCTTCTTCATCTCTATTGCTTAGAACTTCCAAAGCCTGTTTCTGTGTTCTTGGATACTTTACTATGGCACCACTATCTCTCTACATCAGCTTTAACACCTCTTTAGCAAAGGCAATATCCACTCTCATTTTCGCACGCCTCTATAAGCCCCAAAGTCCTCCGCATCGCAACCTCAAAGGCCAAAACGCAGTAGTAACAGGCGCAAACAGCGGTATCGGTCTCTCGATCGCGACTGCGCTTGCGAAACAAGGGGCCACCGTGTATCTTGCCTGCCGCAATGTCGAAAAAGGCCATGCAGCTGTTGCTTCTATCATTTCGCAGCTAGGTCCCGAGGCAGCCACAAGAGTATTTTGCTGGAAGGTAGATGTCGGAGATTTGCACAGCGTGCGAGCGTTTTGTGAGAAATGGAGAGAAGAGGGCAGGAGGATCGATATGCTCGTGTACGCGATGTGCCTGGACGACGTGTTTGTGAGACACATACTGACAGCTTGCAACAATATTTAGGCATAATGCAGGAATCCCAGAACCCCCGGTCGGCACAAGGAAGACAGACGAGAAAGGTCGGGACATTGTTCTAGTTACAAATTTCCTCGGGAGCTTTTTGATGACATGTCTCCTCGAGAAGTATCTAAGTGAAAAGGGACGAGTGGTATTAACGAGTAGTACTGGGCATTATGGTGCATCGGAGACGGTGATGCACGCTAGGCCTGCAGGTGTAGCCACGAAGACCGCTGGTGATGATGGCAGTGTTGACCAAGGACTGCTGGGAAAGCTGAAAGCGTACCTTGGTATGGGTACTGGCACTCTTCATTCCTATGCGCTTTCCAAAGCTCACCAAGTCCTCTTTGCCGCAATCCTTCAACGCCGTTTTGATTCTACTCAAGACAACCAACGTACAGCACACGCGTTTACTCCTGGATTTACATCCACGCCAATATTTGCCAAGTTGGCCTTTGGCTGGAAAACATGGTTCAGCAATCCCACTTTCGCTCTTCTCAAAGTGACTGAGAAGTATGTCGCAGTTGGTACGGATGAAGGTGCAAAGACTGGGTCTTGGCTGGCGAGCTGTGGCGGAGAGCGCGGAGTTGAAGGGGGTGGGTATTGGGAATGGATGAGCAGAAAGACGAGCCTAATCGATTTCGTGGAAGGGAAACTTGGGGATGAAGAATGGAGTAAGGCTTGCGGAAGGGTTTGGAGGGAGTGGGAAGACGATAGTGGGTGCACTTGGGATGTGGCGCTTTGATGCAGACAAAAAGGGAATTCCAGCCAGCTCAAAATCCTCGTACTGGAGCTTGATATGGATACTGCTGTGTGCCGCGCACAAAGGTGCAAGATGTATTGACAAACTTATAGATGAAGCACGTTTCGATCACGCGTCCACGCACAAAAAAGCGCAAAATGGAAAGACGTATCGCTCTAGCTGCTGTTGGTTTGGATGGAGCGTGTATGCGTGTTGATGTTGGTGAATAATGTATGCGAGTCTGGTTAGCGTAATCTGTTAAAAACTAAAATATCTCCCGGCTCAACCCCGACCAATTCAAATCTAACCCCACCCGCACAAAAAATGCAAAAAGAAAATATACAACGATCTAGCTGCTGCTCGTTTCGATCGAGCGTCCTCCGGGTTATGAGCCCGGCGCGCTTCCGCTGCGCCAAGCAGCTTTGGTGCTCGTTGTGGGAAGTTTGGCAATTAATGAGACCATAAGGTCACCAGACCACGGGCTGTTGTTCAGCATTGCTGTACGCCGAGTTCCAATTAAGAGGGCAGTAGAGCCACAGGTGGGGCCGAGTAGAGGGAATCGCATCTTACTTAGGTACCCCTCGGTTGTACAGTGCGTGAGACGGCGGCAGATACGTAGCAGTAGTACCCGAACGCTCAAGCTACCCTTCGCCTGTGAGGCTCTCTGAATGCCAAAGCAGCAGGTGCAAGATGGTGGTGGAATCGATGTGTATGGTGAGCCGCATGCATCGCACAAAGTGGCACATTCAGAGTCTGTGTCCAGGTGACAATGCAACGTAGGAGGGCACCGGTATGAACGTGTCTGACGGAAGAAAAGGTGCAGGCTGCAGTACACAGCAAGAAACGAGGATTCGACAGTCTTGCATGATGAGAGATGGCGGGACAACCGCTTGAAGACGCAAGCATGGCCACTTCGATCCACGGGACTTGGGACGAGAGCGAATGTGGCTAGCGGCAAAACGCGCTTCAACGCGACCCGCGTGGACGCGTCCTCGCACTTTAGACACTTCCGCCCCGTCACGCACGCATGCCCGTAAACCCCAACCATGACCTCTGCCAGAACCAATGAGTAGCTACTCACCAGGCATACCGACCTCCTTCGACCCTGCACTACTACACTCCGAATTCGAATTCCTCGATAACGCGCCCACTTCGCTCTCCTATTCCGACGAACTCGACGCATTGCAACAGTGCATTACCGAAGACACAGCAAAGAAGAACCGTGCAGGCGTCGTCATACAACATCGCGCCTGGAACGTTGCAGATATCTTCAGAAGCGAAGGAGAAGGTCCAGCTGGTACTACGAGCGTGAACCCGCGCTGCAACTAGCACTAATCCCACCAGACACACCTGCGAAGCGCCACACGCAGTCACCAGCTAAGCGCTTTCCCACCGACTCTTCGATTGAAGTCACAACCTTCCCTTCCTCGCCCCCAATCTACACAATGCCGCTCATCTCGTCACCCATCGCATACCCGCCTAGCTCGTCGATGCCACAGGCGCCCTCCCCAAAGAAAAGGAAGCGTCCAGAAGATGCACGAGAGCCGCTGAAGGATGTGCCAAACAACAACGCAACACGTAAGATTGGAGGCTTCCTGGACGACTCCGACGACGACGAAGACATTGCGGCGCTCAAGGAACACACGCTGAAGAGAAGAGCAGTGAGCAGCATCAAGGATCTTCCGGCTGTCCCAGAAGGCTTAGGAGACTATACACCACCTGCGAGCCAGGATGAATCCGCCGACCCCGAATCGATACCAGTAGATGACCTCGACAATTACAGCTTCAAGTCCAGATCACAATCGCCAGTAAAGCGACCACAAATGCTACGAGAGTCAACTTTAGCGCAGCACACGCGTGGCACCGTAGCCCGTAATGCGTCAGGCAAGGTTTTTCACATAGGCAAGAAGGCCGCACGCGTAAACCAGACGTATGAAGAAATTATTGCAGCAAGATCGGAACCCGTGGAAGGCAAGGCAAGGACGAGCTATTATGGTCTGAATATCCACCAACTCATGGACGAGGCGAAATCGCTCGATCAAGAAAAGATCGCGAATGCGTCTCTGAAGACTCATGAGCAACCACATCCGTCAATCGAGCAGCCACTTGCCAGAACCGCAAAGACCAATCGCACACTCATGTGGACTGAAAAGTACCGAGCAAAGAAGTTCACAGACTTAGTAGGAGATGAGCGTACACACCGATCAGTGTTGCGTTGGTTGAAGGCGTGGGACCCGATCGTATTTCCTGGCTCCAGCAAAACGAAGCCCAAGAAAGCAAAGAACGGATTCGAAGACGACGAACAGAGACACCGCAAGATATTGTTACTGACTGGACCGCCCGGACTCGGAAAGACTACGCTAGCTCATGTTTGCGCTCGTCAAGCCGGTTACGAAGTCCAGGAGATCAACGCTTCAGATGAGCGCAGCGGAGCTGTTGTCAAGGGTCGCATCCGGGATATGGTTGGGACTGAGAATGTGCGCGGGGTCAATACTAGTACTGTGGACGGAAAGGTGCGCAAGGCTGGGAAACCAGTATGCGTCGTAGTGGATGAAGTGGACGGGGTTGTTGGTAGTGGAGGCTCAGGCGAAGGCGGTTTCGTCAAAGCTCTAATCGACTTGATCAATCTCGACGAGCGCAACACGAAAGCACTAGGGCAGCACCAATCCAGTACCGGTACCAAAAAGAGGAAAGGGGACAAATTCCGACTCTTGCGGCCCCTCATTCTCATCTGTAATGACCTCTATCACCCTTCTCTACGGCCACTTCGACAGTCTTCGATGGCTGAGATCGTACACATCCGCAAACCCGCCCTCAACATGGTTGTTTCGCGAATGCAAGAGATTTTCGGAAAAGAAGGCATTCAGTGTGATTCAGACGGCGTGCGCCGCCTCTGCGAAGCTACATGGGGTGTCAGCACGAAGAAAGAAGGAGGAACAGGCAGCGGGACCGGTGAAGGAGACATTCGTGGAGTCATGGTAGTCAGCGAGTGGATAGCAGCTCGCTTACGGTCGTCGCATGATATCAAGTCAAAGGAAAGGCCTCATCTATCG